TACTCACGAATATTTACTGAAAGGCGAAGATCCTCCGTTTTGCATCCCTTGTGATGAAAGAGAATACATCTGACTGTGTTGAATATTCCATCACAAGGGTTAAGTATTTCAATGTCAAAACATTGAAGGATCTTTTTTATAATGTTAATTATCATTTACTAGTTGAATTTTTAAAATAATTTGATTTGTTGACTGATCTGTAAATAGCTAAATATTTTATTATTGGTAGTTTAGATTAGTAACTGATAATTGTTAGTGGCTGTACCCTCAAAGGGTGTTGAAGTTTTGTAAAATTATTGTCCTCCTGACAGGATACGTAAGTCCCAAAACTTTCAAAGTTAAATTTTTGCTTACCCGAATTTTAAACGTAGTATATTTGTTCCTTTAAATTTCGGCTAAACTTGTCCTACAATCGCCAGCGGCTGAAGGATGGTGTAAATCCAACTAGGGTCCATGTAGGTAGCAAAGGCACTGTAAGTCCCCATGGTCCCTAGTATGGTGATCTACCTTCAGTTGTTGGCGATCTATAGCCCAATTTTACATTGTATTGTCCAGAAATATTTTTCTACTTTTAAAGATATATGCTAGCTAGTTTTAACTCAATCTGTGATAAGCTAGTGGTTTTACTGTCCTTCGCTGACAGGGTTTTATATATTATATGTATGTATTATAAATTTAGAACTAGTTTTAGTCACGATATGGCTGAAATATTGCCGATGTGACTTTAAATCTTAACTCACTCACTCTATCTCATTTAATTATTGGTTTTTAAAAGAAATTGATTTCATTGATGAATTCTGATTAATATGTTCTGTAGATAGATGTATTTTAAAGATTGGTAGTTTAGGTTAGTAACTTAGATTGTTAGTGGCTGTACCCTCACAGGGGGTTAAAGTACTGTCAAATTATTGTCCTCCTGCGAGGGTACGTAAATCCCAAAACTTTCAAAGTCTATTCAGATCTACACACTTTTTAATCGTAGAATATTTGTTGTTTTATGGCGAACTATCAGTACAATCGCCAATGGCTGAAGGGATGGTATAAATCCAGCTAGGGTCAATGCAGATAGCCAAAGTACTGTAAGTCCCCATGGTCCCTAGAGTGGTGGTCTAACTTCGGTTTTTGGCGATGCTCAGCCTTGTTTATATTGTATTGTCCTAATATGAAATCCTTTTTTAGAGATATATGCTAGTTTTATTTCTTGATATTGTGATATTCTAGTCGGTTTTACTGTCCTTAGTTGACAGGTTTCTATAATTTACCATACATTACTATGTATAACAATTAAATGTTGTCGTCACGATATGGCTGAAATATTGCCGATGTGACGAAAAATATTAACTCACTCACCTTACATACATGAGACCTTACATCACACCGTCAGGTCACTACGTACATACACTACGTACACCGTCAGGTACTACATGTAACATTACACCACACCGTCAGGTCACTACGTACATACTGCATGAGACCTTACATCACACCGTCAGGTCACTACGTACATACTGCATGTAACATCACATCACACCGTCAGGTCACTACGTACATACTGCATGAGACCTTACATCACACCGTCAGGTCACTACGTACATACTGCATGTAACATTACACCACACCGTCAGGTCACTACGTACATACTGCATGTAACCTTACACCACACCGTCAGGTCACTGCGTACATTACATCACACCGTCAGGTCACTACGTACATACTGCATGTAACATCACATCACACCGTCAGGTCTACGTACATACTGCATGTACATCACACCGTGCATACGTACATAACATGTAACATCACATCACACCGTCAGGTCACTACGTACATACTGCATGTAACATCACATCACACCGTCAGGTCACTACGTACATACTGCATGTAACATCACATCACACCGTCAGGTCACTACGTACATACTGCATGTAACATCACATCACACCGTCAGGTCACTACGTACATACTGCATGTAACATCACATCACACCGTCAGGTCACATACGTACATATCACACCGTCATGTCACTACGTACATACTGCATGTAACATCACATCACACCGTCAGGTCACCGCCATGTCACTGTGAACATATTATATCTGGCCTTAACTTCACCACCGTATACAATCTGTCGCAGGAGATCACACTCTGAGGAGAAAATCAACAAGATGCAAAGACTGCCGATTTCACCGCGTGACCAATGTATCTCTTGAAGTTAATTAACTCTCACTCTCTAATAAGTAAACACATAGGCTTATCTGGATGGGGAGAAATGAACACTAAAATATAGACGAATACGCCTAAATTAAATATTCAGACCTACAGGCTAAAGTCGAATCACTAACGGAAATACTTGACCTCCAGAGTAAACAGGTTCTTGAACTACAGAACTACTTGACTTCCAACAATGGAAAGGTGCTCAACCTTAACCAGATAATCCTGAGAAAATAAGTTATTCACAGACACATTTTCTGTTTTCGACTTTACACACTGATACGCTGACAGTGCAACAGAATGTTTGTATACCATTTGGCTGAGGAAGAGAAAGCAACAGCAGGTTGGTACGCAACGACAACTATAAGAGAAATACATCATCCAGTCAACAGTCGGAAAGCAACTGACCTCACGGTGCAGGACACACATTGCCGAGTGCAGCCGGAATGAAGGCTGTTGCAGCTGTAGATTCTAGGCGTAGAACGTCACACCCTTGAATGAGTCGCGTTCAGGGCAAAATTAATCAAATATTATGAATGTAAATGCTTGTGAACATGCAGGGAGGGACATTCTAAAGGGGTCTTCATACAACCAGTTTTAAAAGTATTATATTACATTCAAGGTTTTTGTAAAGATTTAGAAATGTTTCTGATGTACGTAATTTATGTGCCTTTGGGTATGCAAGATGCTACTTGTATACTTATAGGCGGCCGGCATTGTAGGGATAAAACTGGGTAAGTCTGGGTGGAGTATCCGTGTTGAACTGCGGATGGTGTCTCACACACACACACACACACACACACACACACACACACACACACACACACACACACACACACACACACACACACACACACACACACACACACATTTTATTCAATGTTAGCTCAAATGGATGCTTAATACATGCATCTATCAGCATGCATATTAGTAGATTGCCTCAAGCAACTGTACAAAACTGCGTTGTGGGTGTGTATATTCATTTAATCTAAAGCATTTAACAGAGCAAATGAAACAACGCTTTTTTTCATTGATATCATTTCAAGTGGTGAGTTTTAGTTTTACGCCGTTTTTAAGCAATATTCCAGCAATATCACGGCGGGGGACACCAGAAATGGGCTTCACACATTGTACCCATGTGGGGAATGGAACCCGTGTCTTCGGCCTGACGAGCGAACGCTTTAACCACTAAGCTACCCCACCGCTCCTTTTTGTTTTCGAGATGTAATCTCTCGAAATGATATCAATGAAAATATGCGTTGTGTTCATTTACTCTTTTAAAAGCTATAGGTTACACAAATACAAACACATTCACAACGCAAAGAAATTGCTTACATTTTTGTTCAGTTTAATAGAAAATGACACCTTCATGATATCAATGAAAATGCGCGTTGTTTTATTTACTCTGTTAAAGGATTTAGAAAATATATATATACACACACTCACACCGCAGTCTTGTACAGTTTCGTAGAAAATGACACCTACAATGAAAACATTTAACAAAGTCTATCAATGCTCGATTATCTGTGACAGCCACAACGATGAAAGCAATTTGCATATTTGTATCCAGAAAAAGGTCGGAAAGGTTAATCATTTTTTTAACGCAATGAATCGAATACTGTTTTCAGATCCGGTTCCATTATGAACGAAGTTGTTTACTGAACTCTCTGACAACAAGAAAATATATCATTACGTTCAGTGCACGAATGTTAAGTATGTGAGGATGGCGCGAGCCTCCTTGGTCGTTAATAACTTTCGTATGTGTTCTATTGCGAATAAGCAAGCTTCACAGACATGGAGCAGCTGTCTGTTTTCAACCAAGGAATGATAAGTAGGCAGAAAAAATGAGTGACGTTATTGATGTTTATATGCAGGTTTTGTTTTGACGTACCATTTTACATTGTCCTTGTGGCGTAAAATGTCAGGTGGATATCTTGAGGTTGTTACTCCATTTGCAAGTTTTGTCTTGACGTTCCATTTTACACCGTCCTTATGACGTAAATGTAAGGTGAATATTTGAGGGTGTTACTTTATATGCAGGTTTGGTTTTGACGTACCATTTTTACATTGTCCATATGACCTATATGTAAGGTGGATATTTGAGGGTGTTACTCCATATGCAGGTTTGGTTTTCACGTACCATTTTACATTGGCCTTATGACGTAAATGTAAGGTGAATATTTGAGGGTGTTACTCCATATGCAGGTTTGATTTGATTATTTGAGGGTGCTCTCAATATGCAGGTTTAGGTTTGACGTACAATTTTACATTGTCCTTATGACGTAAAATGTAAGGTGTATATAGAGTGTGTTCTCTATATGCAGGTTTGTTTTTACGTACAATTTTATATTGTTCTTATGACGTATATGTAAGGTGGATATTTGAGGGTGTTACTTAAACAGATCGATGAACAGTTCTCTCAAATACACCACACATTATTAATCCATTATGTTGGTGTAACATAACACACGTTTCTAAAACTCCTATGAGGATGCAAGCTTTATCAACTCCATGCAATTCTAATTATAAACTAGGCGAAACAATTGTGACATCCCGTCTATCCGGCCACCACTTCCTCGGCAGTTACTATATAGAGCGTTACATTCAGGGATGTAATTAGTCAATACCCTCACGTGTCAATATGTGTCGTTACAAGTTTGAAATTTCCGCGTTACAAGATTCAATGTTGGTTATTACTGCCTGTATATGTTCTAATAGTCCAACCCAACAGGTTTTGTGACCAGTCAAACGTAGTCCAGGACGAGTCCCCTTTCCTCTAACAACACGCGCTGACGACGAAGTGGGCGGGACGAGTGCGTCACCTCACGTTCAATGACGTCACGGAGCATGGCGCGTGCCGACTGTGAGCACCGCAGGGCCGAGTGACAAACACATTTCCTCCCCTTGATAACACCACAGTCAAACGAATCGGGCAAACCGACCTCAATTGTCCGATGCGCACAAGGATATTTGCGGCATGCTTGAACAAACATCGCGCGTCTAATTCCTGTTGTAAGCTGTAGGGTTGTTGCGCGAGTACCGCACGCAACACAACCCACAATTGCCTCATGGTATCTGTTGGCGTTTAAAGCTGATAAGAGTCTCCAACTCCTTAATGAAGAAGCAATACACGTCCTTTGAATATCTACCTATGGTGTCAGTATTGTGAACAAGGTAAGACCATCTTTCTCCTTTATTTACCTGTGGACGGGATGAAGAGTTTCACCGTTTCAAGGCTGGACAGGTGTAAGCTTTCACCTGAGCTTAATGTTTATCAGACCGTGAAGAATGTGTTTGTACACATAGGACAAATCGTTACATGAGTGCTGAGTATTTGAACGGTATGGTTCGAGACGACAGGTAGGCTATGCGCATTTCGCCGTATAGCAATGACCCGATATGCAAACAACGTTACGAGAGGTCAGGGGAATTCCGCGATCAATATTATCAATCTCGTTATAGCGCGAGTGCAGCTTCATGTCTACTAACCTATATTCGCGAGGGCTGCACGTGGAGTGTTTGAAACGAGTGTCGGAAACATGAATGTACACATGTCTGGGTGAGAGGGATGATTGCTGGGACGTGTGGAGAAGAAAGCGAAGTCCATTCGCCTCCACTGCACATTGCCAGAGCAAGCACGCTAACATTTACCCTCCTGTTGTTGCTGGCGTTTCAGGACGATAGACATGACCCGAGCGAAACATCAGCATTATGGTAGCGGGCTGTTGAGAAGGATTGAGCGTAGTGTTCTGTGAACATATTGCGACTTTGTAACACTTCGTCATGAACTATGGTATATGTCGTAAGAGAAGGGTGACACGTGTAGTATAGGCTCAAATCTGGATGAACTGTCAGTGTATTTTGTGTTGAAATCGTGGGCAGAATGTGCACTAACGCGACCTTCATTTCTTATTAATTACTCGATGGGAGAAGAAGTAGACAAAACTTCTGTGTGTGTGTGTGTGTGTGTGTGTGTGTTTCTGTGTGTGTGTGTGTCTGTCTCTCTCTCTCCATCTCTCTCTCTCTCTCTCTCTCTCTCTCTCTCTGCGACACACCGGCTTCAAATACGCATGATCATACGCACAGCAAGGTGTATATCCTTGTCCTTAAACGCGACCAGCGGGATCAGGTAGTCAGGCTCGTCGACCAGCTATGTCATCGTATCCCCACTGCGTACATCGATTCTCAGGATGTATATCACTGGTTTATTTACAGAACGCCGTCATATAGCTGACCTATTGCTGGGTGGGGCGTTAAACAACAGACATACATTCAAACACACGGACAGTCGTACTAGCAACGACTATAGCAGATCAATACTCCGTACACCGTACCGTAAACACTAGTCTCGCAAGCACCATGTATAATAATTTTTGCAGATATACAATACCATCTGCATCAATGTTGAAATGTATATATGTATCGCATCTATTACATTTTAACATTAGCCTTCACTGGTATTCTAATGGTATGTTATTATATTACTGTATGGTATTATTCTCACGTTCTTGATTTATGACATTTTGGGCACATTACGTCCATTTTCTACCATAATGAACTACATTATACAGTCTATGCCTGGATCACGTTTATCTTAGTATCTATACGTATCACAGAATCAGTTCCCCTGCCATCTGTAGCAGTGATGTGAATGCAAAATGCAGAACAAATATATGTTTGTTCACGCTTAGACTTGCTCAAGTCTCTAAGGTAAAAATTAATAGTGTAAATGATAATTTCTAAATGAAAATAATAATAACAGACTCGGGTCCTTACTGTCCACTTATCTAGACTTGCCTCTTTAAAGGATAGAATTACTATACATGCATTGGCTTAGCCCTCAGTACAGCCGTAGAGCAAGGCCAGTGCACACTATGCAGACTGGCATCTGGGACAAGGAAGTTACACGAAGATACGTACTTCCCTTCCTTGTCACTGTGTCATCTGTATGCATGATCTTTCTGCAACCGGATAATTCCATGCATGCGTTTTGCTGTCAACCGATACTTTGATATACGTTCTTGACATGTGAATAAGCTGAGAGACTGATACCCGCGTAGAAGGTAGAATAGAAAGGGAGACATTCGTGAGTATTGACTTCCGAATCAGTTAAGTCACAGTTAACTACGGTTATAACGAACACAAGGGGACCATTAATTGTAGTTCGTTATAACGTAGTTCGTTAGCGTATTAAGTCTAAGGAGCGGTGGGGTAGCCTAGTGGTTAAAGCGATAGCTCGTCACGCCGAAGACCCGGGTTCGATTCCTCACATGGGTACAATGTGTGAAGCCCATTTCTGGTGTGCCCGGCCGTGTTATTGCTGGAATATTGCTACAAGCGGCGTAAAACCATACTCACTCACTCATTCAGTCTTAAATATACAGCGTCAAAACTAGATTTCATTGCATCCGTTAGTTCTTTAGAGTCAGAGTTGAGTATAAAATTCTAAGTCTGGCCTACCAATGTTACCAAGAGACTGTTCCAGGCAACCTCAATGAGTTTGTCTCAAAACACAATTAATCCAGAGCTCTAAGATCTGCAGATAAATACTTATTGAAAATTCCACGTCAAGAACTCAAATCCGTTGGTCTCTGATCGTCAGCTATGGATCTCCTAAACTCTGGAACCAACTGCCACTTGAGATGAGACTTTCAAAAGTCCTATAAAAACCTTCCCTTTTAGAAAATACTAGAAAAATCTAACCTAAATCTTGAGTCACTTTATTCTTGTATGCACGGAAAACTGTTTTATCATTTGTATGTTTTTAATATTGTAGCGCTCTGAGCATACATAATGTATTGAATTCAGCGCGATATTATTACGCATATTATTATTATTATTATTATTTGCGTGTTCGCTATAAACGCAGTTTACGTTTATCAAAAATGATAAATGTGGTCATGATTTTTCATATATCGTATATGTTCATAAGAGACAATGGAAACAACACTTTATATATCAACCTGCTTGGTGGGTTTATAAAAGTCAAAGCACATATTACCGGTTTATGTGATGAGCGTGGCAGATAAAGTGTTAAATATTACTAATTTCCTTCCGTCTTGTATCTGTAATAATCTAGGCGGAACATAGCGTTGTATTTCCTCGGCGGTTATCCTGTTTGGAGTGCAAGTAGTAGACATGCTATAATGTAGTAGTGTTAAGTTAGTAGACTGCTAGTGTAATGCAACCCAACACCAATTTAGAAGTACCCCATACTACAGTAAAATCGCCAATCCGGACACCGTGTCATGCAGGTGGTTCACTGGAGGAGAGAGTGAGTTTAGTTTTACGCCGCACTCAGAAATATTCCGGCTATATGTCGGCGGTCTGTAAATAATTGAGTCTGAACCAGACAATCCAGTGATCAACAGCATGAGCATCGATCTACGCAATTGGGATACGATGACATGTGTCAACCAAGTCAGCGAGCCTGACCACCCGATCCCGTTGGTCGCCTCTTACCATGTAGCTGAGTGCGGCGTAAAACTCACTCACTCACTCTTTTGCCCCTCTTTGACTACTCGAAACATGTTAGGAGACCATAAATAGTGTAATCAGAGTTTGCCGATAGGTCTTCACATAAAACTTTGGTTCTAAAGCCTCCTTTATAATGGTTGACTGTCAACAAATGAAACCACAAGAATGTGTAAACATCGCATAAACACTCCTTTGTATTCATTTCAAGCACATAAACCTGAAATCGTGATGTTTCAACACGTTTTGTGTTGTGTATTAAATCGGTAACTAAGAATTTGCACTGAGAGTTGACTTGCCTTTCCATGTGTTTGTGGCGTGTGCACCTGTGGGATAGGCTCCTTTCACCTTTTTAGACGCACACCAGATTAACATCACTATTAGTTGCTTGGATGGTTGGTTGTTTAACGCCACACTCAGCAATATTCCAGCTATATGGCGGTGGTCTGTTTATAAATGTTGCAGACATCATTTGCTTTAGTAGGCGGTGGGGTAGCCTGGTGGTGAAAGCGTCCGCTCGTCACGCCGAAGACCCGGGTTCGATTCCCCACATGGGTACAATGTGTGAAGCCTGGTGTTCCCCGCCGTCATATTGCTGGAATACTGCTAAAATCGGCATAAACCAATACTCACTCACTCACTCTTGCTTAAGTCGTCTAAGGTACCCGTTCCACGCAGGTAAAGAGTGTGGGTATTCATGAATCACAGCTGACCAACCAGCCCTCACACTAAACCCCAAATATGCATCTAGTCACCAATGAGTCAATGGGTACCCGATAGGATTAGATAGTGTTGTGACCGTTGTGACCGCTTCACAATATGGACATCAACAGGAACTCGACACACGCGAGGGGCGGTTTTGGGTAGCCTAGTGGTTAAAGCGTTGGCTCGTCACGCCGAAGACCCGGGTTCTAATCCCCACATGGGCACAATGTGTGAAACCCATTTCTGGTGTCCCCCGCCGTGATGTTGCTAGAATATTGCTAAAAGCGGCGTAAAACCAAACTCAGTCAGTCAGTCAGTCGACACACGCGACGACGTCTCGTGGTATCAGCTATGTGCGCTATGCACATCCTTTACCAGAAGGAGGAAACTTATCACTAATATGTCATCCCAGTTTCTTCCTGTTTTTGAAATGTATAAATACGACATGATGACACAATCCCCAAATCCATGCACATTAGCTGCATATCATTACCATCACATATTATACACTGATATTGTTTCGTTTAATGTAATGCAGTACTTATCATCTTTACCCTATCATATGTTTCCAAGTTCAGTCGGAGGATAGGCCTTGTTAACTGCATCATGTTATAAATTGCTATATTATTTTTATGTGTACATAGACTAATAATTGCCTGCGAGATTCTATACAAAATATGCGGTTTATCAAAACACTGTTGTTTCGCATTCGTCACCACTCGACATTTTCCGTTACCATTCGGCTTGTCTCGGAATGACGCGATGTGGAGGGCTGTGTCCTTGACACAAATTCAACGCGTTTATATTGTCACATGACACGAGCCTTTTCATACCATTGTTCAGGTCGTTCGTCATAATATTAATCACTTGGCTGCCTGGTCTAGACTTTGTTATTGACAGGTAAACTGAAATATAGAGCCATGACTCATCTACTACAAAAATACGTGTCTGGGACAGTATATTACTATTACAAACGCATGTATGTAATGTCGTGAATTATCAATATATATCCACTATATCTGCAGCGGTGGTATACGCGACTGAATGTACGGGATCGAGTTTAGTGTTGTGAGATAAACTGAAGCAGGTGTTGCCATATGTATTACGCCAGTCTGTGTTGGTAGTATTTGTCAGTTATATGTAAGTTGAGGTATGATATTTCAGACTGGCAAATCTTATGTTATTTTAACAAGTACAGAGAATACCCATAGGTGCTGACCCAGTTATTCTGGAAATTCTAACTTTACCAACAAAATACAATAATACATACCCTGAGTGCCATTATAAAACAAATGGAACTGTTCCAGAATTCAACGATGCTTCAGGAGGATGAAGAAGGCCCTGCGAAGACGGTGTTTTTGCGTCAGTCAAGCTGGGACCTACACCATTACAATCAAAGACCAGTGTCAATAGATCAAGAAAGTATCAAGTCGGCGGGAATAGACCCCAAGCAAGGTCAGTCTGCTTCATTCATTCATACAACAGTGCGGTGATCGAAGGCACTATCAGTTGTAACATCTAGGGGTGACTATTGAAGGGGAAACAACTATTGCGATAGCGATAGAGAGAGAGAGAAAGAGTAGAAGTGTTAGTTTTGTCTACTTCTCCCGTCGAGTAATTAATAAGAAATGAAGGTCGCGTTAGTGCACATTCTGCCCACGATTTCAACACAAAATACACTGCCAGTTCATCCAGAGTCGAGCCTATACTACACGTGTCACCCTCCTCTTACAACATGTACCATAGTTCATGAAGAAGTGTTACAAAGTCGCATTATGTTCACAGAACACTACGCTCAATCCTTCTCAACAGCCCACTACCATAATGCTGATGTTTCGCTCGGGTCATCTCTTTTCCGAGTAACTGAGTTAGTGTTTCAGTGAGTCAGTGAGTCAGTGAGTTAGGTTTAAAGTTGAAATGCAAATAGGTGTGAAGCCCTTAAAGAAATCGCTAGTAGTCCTACAATGGTAATAAGGCCGATCATAGTTCTCTGCACACCGAACTACAATGCCGCCTTCCTCTTTTTTTCAGTTAATATGAAAATGGACATGTAACATGTTCCGGGAGGTACGGTTAACGCCGATATTTTAAGTATTTCATGCTTAATTAGAAGAATGGTCTTGATATATTTTACCCATATTTGGAACCGAACCCACATCGGGCGAAAGGTTGATCCAGGAGGCTACTATTTCACGGTCTCAGGTATTAAATACATTAAATTATGCATGTATATATTTTCGTAAATATGATTTGATGTTTCAGTTCCATGGTGGACGTCGAAGCGCTTCCGTTTGTCAGTGCTGTGTTTCTGCGGCTTTGCCTGTCTATATGCTCTCAGGGTGAATCTCAGTATAGCAATGGTCTGCATGGTGAAGGATGGCCATCACAACTCAACACACGCCGCGTCACCTAACAGCACTAACACCACAAGTCATTACTCAGTAACAGCTGATGCACAGCAATGCCCTGTCCAAGCTTCATCACATTCGGAGGTATTTAATTGAATTACTGTTATACATTTATGATATTCATAATCTTAATATTATATAATACCTTCATATATATTTATCATATTCAGATCAGGTACGGAAAAAGATTGAATGAATCCTATGCTGCTGTTTTCCGAAAGTTCGTATTTTCTCCGATAGTGAGACCTTTGTCCAATGGAATCTGTTCCGTCCGGTATTCTCTGATGTTGACGTTTTGGCATTATTTTGGATGGTTATTGTTGTGAGGATGCCATAATATGACGTCACGTTGCTAAGGACAGCAGTGCATTAACCAATCAGCTGGAAGAACAAATATTTTTCTGAGTGGGAATTGATGGCGGTGTTGAGGAATGATCATCAATTGCTGCCATGTACAATGGAACCGGTTACTGAGCTTGACGAGTTAGACTTTAATCACTGGGCTGACTCACCACCTCAAGAAACAGGTTCACTCTTGTTTGTTGTACGTCGACTGGTGCACTCTTCTTGCTTTGTGAAGCTGGACGTAACGAATATAACGAATGTAACGACCCTTGATCAGAAAAATCTAGGGTTGACATGAACATAGATCTGTGATTGGGATACGATGACATGTATCAACCAAGTCAGTGTCCAGTCATATTTCCTTCCTAAATTCACCAGATCCGCCTCAAACCATAACGTTACCATCATTCTGTTCCACGTCTTGAACGCAAGAACTTGATGTTCCTTTTCTTCGTCGATGGTAGACACGAAGTCTTCAGTGTACCCTGAACGTTGGAATCGTCTGGGAACATGAGCTTTGGCAGTTTCTGTCTTGCCAGTGTCGCAGTGTTCCAACAAATCGAGGTCCACGACGTTGGCGCTGTACCTCGTGATGGTCCTTACTTGGTCTTTATGCGTACGGCCCATCACGCCACTGTGAGTAACAGATCCCTCAGAGAGAGTGTACATGGGGGGACGGTGACAGGAGGTCGTCTTGTGTCCCGTCCACCATGTCTACCTATAACGGGTCAAAGTCTTGGGGGCATGAATGACGTATTTGTGCTGGTTGGAACTCTGCATGTACGGGTGGAACAACATTTTCACTCGGACTGACTGATTTCCACTGATGCTGCTGCAGGGGCACCAGTCGGTTAATTCTTTGTCTTTGGGCTATTGAACCATTTTCTTCAGCTACTCGGGGCTTGGAACCAACATTTCAAAATGCCAGTTTCGCAATGTATCTTTTGGTCCTCTGTTTAGTCTGTCAGTACATGTAACTTATTGAAAGACATTATTCTGCCGAAGTGTGTCATTGACAATTTCACTGGTGTTTTGTAATCATATTTAGTTACACGTTGTACGAATGCTACCTTCTTTTCAGGGAGCTGAGTTTCTATGGGACAAGCAACTGCAAGGGTTGCTATTAGGGGCGTTTTTCTGGGGATATTTAGTTCTACAAGTACCTGGAGGGATGCTGAGCGAGAGATTCGGCGCGAAAAAGGTGATTGCTGCCGGCATGTTCCCTGTTGCCGTCTTGAACATGGTGACACCACTTGCAGCCCGTGGAAGTCCATATCTCCTTCTGGCTGTCCGTGTAATAGTAGGAATTGGGGAGGTGAGTCCACTTTCAGGAATAATAACGGTATCCAAATTTAACGATACACATGCCTTATCGTAAGAGGCGACCAACGGGATCTGCTGGTCAGGCTCGCTGACTTGATTGACACATGTCATCGTATCCCAATTGAGTAGGTCGATGCTCATGATGTTGATCACTGGATTGTCTGGTCCAGACTGATTTCCAGGCCCACATATAGCTGGCATATTGCTGAGTGTGGCGTCAAACGACAAACAAACAAAACAACAAAATTTAACATAACCGATTTACGAAAGAACCGGTTTCAGCTATGCTACGTGTGATCTCTGCAAGCACCAGAAACTGATTGCTCACTACACATGGGCAAGCTGATTCCTGTCTTGGTTGAATATGTTAGTCTTACGACGCTTTGAACAAGATTTCTTTTCTATTTCTGCGCTCAAACGATAGTCCAATTAACTATTCACAATTATTAGTGACACTTTACTAATGTTCGATGTGAAGGAATTTACCGCACAAGCAGCAATAACGCAAACCAGTGTGACAGCGGGGGTCCTGATCACTAAGGGGGCGGTGTGGTAGCCTAATGGTTAAAGCGTCCGCTCGTAACGCCGAAGACCCGGGTTAGATTTCCCACACGGGTACAATGAGTGAACCCCATTTTGGGTGTCCCCCGCCGTCATATTGCTGGAATATTGCTAAAAGCGGCGTAAAACCATACTCTCGAGCTCACTCACTGATCACAAAGTCATGTCTGTTAAAATTTATATATACTAGGCACATAAAGAAACTGTGCATACAAAAATTGAAAATCTAAATTTATCAAACCTGTGTAGACATATAAGGATTTAAACTCAGAGATTAGTGACATGTATCAAACATGCATGCACGTGCCACGTTCCGTGACGTCAGTGGGTTCGTCCTTGAGACGTGCAATACGTTGTTGCACGTGCATTCTGGGAAAGAGAAACAGAACAAATGAATGCCACACAATACTGCCATTTTGGAAAGCTCAACCCCTGCCCTTGCGATCGTTCAAAAATTAAGCGGCTATTGAAACGCATAGCATGCCAAGGCTCACGTCTGCACAACGTCATAAGGCCCTTGGGATGGTCCGTGGGGGAATGTCTCAACGACAAGTGGCTGCACATTTCCACTGCCACCGGAACACCATTTCTGCCCTGGTGAGACGCTACCAGAACACAAATGACGTCATCGATCGGCCACGTGCTGGACGTCCACGTGTAACAACGCCAAGACAGGACAGATGGATAAGGGTGACCCATCTTCGCCACAGGTGTCAGACTGCAGTGATGACTGCCAGAACCATCCCAGGACTTCGCCGTATCCACCCCAATACAGTTCGACAACGTTTACGTCATCACGGGATCAGACCACGACGTCCCGCCATACGGCCTATCCTGACACAACGTCATCGACAAGCTCGCCGAATGTGGTGCCGAAATCATGTCCGCAGACCCTTGTTTTGGTGGAGAAATGTTGTTTTTACAGATGAGTCCAGGTTTAACATTTCCCATAGTGATGGACGTCAACGTGCCTATAGACGCGTGGGAGAACGTTATGCACAGGCCTTTGTCTTGGAGAGGAATCGCTTTGGTGGTGGTTCCGTGATGATTTGGGATGGAATAACAGCACGCCAAAGAACTCCTTTGGTGATTGTTCAGGGCAACTGAACTGGTGTGGGCTACAGGGATCAGATTCTTCGACCTGTGGCAATTCCTTTTCTGCAACGTCATGGCCCTGGGTTAACATTCCAACAGTACAATGCCCGCCCTCATACGGCAAGGGTTGCTATGGATTTCTTGCAACACCACAACGTTGACTTACTGCCTTGGCCTGCAAATTCACCGGATCTCTCCCCGATAGAGCATGTTTGGGACGAGATGGATCGACGTCTACGCCGTCTTCCTCATCCGCCAGATAACGTCCTTGACCTTGCAACAGACCTTGAGAGACATCCCACAAGCCTTCCTTGCACGTTTGATAGGCTCTATGCGTCGTCGATGCACTGCTGTTCTCAATGCCGATGGTGGACATACCCGTTATTGAGCTTGTGACATGGTCGTTTGACCCCTGTCCCGCTTGTGGACTCGTGACGTCATTGTGATTGACTTTTCAATTGAAATTCTCCCGACTTGTTATTGTCTCATGATCCCGCCATTAAAGTTTATATGTACCTTTGACATTGTTATCGTACTTATCAACTGGGATAATATTTTAACAACTCACAGTTTCTTTATGTGACTAGTATATAATATACTAAGGCATAGCGCAACGAACGCTTTGTTGATATTGGCTGTATTGTGCATTTAGACTTGGCAACTAAATATCTGTATCGAACCACACCATTGTCCGTATTCCAGCAATATCTCGAAATTGACTTCACACATTGTACTCATTTGGGGAATCGAACCCGGATCGTCGGTATGACGAGCAAACGGTTCAGCCACTAAGCTATCCCACCGCCCCTTAGACTTATTAAGAGAAAGCCTGGTAACGTGATATTACCCTCATGATTAACACACGTTGCCTCTATGTCTGTACTGGAAGTATGGACTCCTGGTGATAACTATTAACCCAAGTATGTCTGGTTTGTTAGTAATGCCTGAGCTCTCAACATTCAATCTTTCTCTCACAGTCAGTTATGTATCCAGCGGCACAAGCTCTCTGGGCGAACTGGGCTCCTCCTTGGGAACGTAGCAGACTCATCGGTATATCATTGTCAGGTAAAACAATGCAACCTTTTCAAGCGAACTAATCACTAGGTATGTCTAAGATAGATTGAAGGTCCCTTGGTAACGTCATTGCATTTCATTGTGGAGAGAGTGAGGCGTGTTCATAGGGGTGGGCGATAAAACCGGTTAACCGGTATCTTGCAATTCGAATTTCACAATACGACATATTGCGGTACACTTTTCGCGAACCGGTTCACCCGATACCATCAGCAGTTTCCGTGACCATGATCGGTAATTTTCGTGATGTACTAAAAATGCTAAAAAATTGTATTTCTTTCATATCATTATATATTAGTAGTTTTGATGAGTTTATTGGTCATATAATTGCATTTGCATGACTCTTAAACCATATGAATAAAAAGAATAGAATTGGTACCGGCACTCGTTGTTGGGATAAAGAAACCAAAATGGCGGACGCCGCTGCAGACACTTTTTCTCGAGTTCCAACTTTAAAGTGAGGTCTTCAATTTAAAAAACATTTTCATTTGATCTCTTGTACATCACATCTGAGTCCTGACAGTGGCATTGTAATTTCATTACCTTAAACCATGTGTTACACTTTCACAATATATTGCAATACATATTGCAATACGCCAACACATACCACAATATATCGCAATGCGAAAATTTTGGCAATACCCAACCTGACGGGTTCATACTATTTAAACGAGTCGGAGCAGGCATTTAAATGTTACAGCGAATAATTTTACGCCGCTTTCAGCAATATTTCAGCAATATCACGACGGCAAACACCAGAAATGGGCTTAACGCATTGTACCCATATGGGGAATCGAACCCGGGCCTTCGGCGTGACGAGGGAACGGTTTAACCACTAGGCTACCCAACCGCTCCATCCCGAATGAACAAATGAGTGTTTCACAAGTCACCCTGTATTTACTGTTTGACATTCATTTGTATACGTATATCACAGATGTTTTTAAATCAAACGTCGAAGAAAGTTATTTCTGCTTTTTGTTTCTTTGATGTTCACTTCATTTTATCCATCATTCTATATTGGACCCCAGTTATTTGTATATTATTCACCACGGTTTTGGCCTATCTGACTAACAAATAAACAAACAAACAAACACAAACGTGTTGTTTTTCATAAAAAAATTGTGGTGCTACCAGTAAGGCATGACATGCGTATCATTTTTGTGAACGCCCTTGCATCATAACTAATGTTACTCGTCCGTAGATATATTTTTCATTGCCATTCGTTTTATATTGATAATTATGATAATTAGTCCTACTAATCTCGACAGGTATCTTTTTATGGGTGAGTGAGTTTAAATTACCGTCACACTGGCACTATTTCAGCCATATCGTGACTAAAACAATTCCTTTGTCCTACTAAGACAATATAGTTTAGGTACGTCACATATTACAAAGCGAACCTTGAAAACGGAACACTTGGAGGGTATATTTATTGCTATTGTGTTGTTGGTTTCAGGGGGACAGTTTGGTAACGCTTTAATATTCCCCGTTGGAGGTCTGCTCTGCAGTTACGGGTTTGACGGTGGATGGGCATCTATTTTCTATGTCATAGGTAACATTGCCTTGCCTTTGTATGTGTTTGTGACGACCGCATCTCTTTCAGAACGCTTTGTGTCATTGCTTGTTATAGTGATTCATATACGCATGATGATGTCGAATCGTACAATAAGCCCTGTTTTCAGTACGACAAATAGGCAAGTACGTGCATAGGCTTTTAACAGCTTCCGACGAGAAACCGTTATAGACAAGGTCGTGTATAGGCTTCTAATAACTCCAGACAACGAGAAACCATTATCTTAACTGCAGTTAACACCTCCTCATCCTTCAAGATAGGTTATTCTGTATTTCGCGAGAAGGTCCTGGTAGATCAAGACAGTAGATTTCCGTGGTTCCGATTGGATACAACTCAATCATTTCGTTAAAATATTCCACTTCCAAATTTCATCGAGAATGAGGCATTATATAGAGACAAACCAAAATCTGGATGTCATACCCACGATCATAGGACACAATATTTGAGAAAAGAATGACGTATATTACTGAGTGTATAATATTATATGCTATATTGGGTTTCCTTCAGGAAGCGTAGGACTTTTATGGTGTGTTATCTGGACGATATTTGCTCACGATCGGCCAGAATCGACCCCCGGAATATCGGACCTGGAGAGGAAGTACATCTCAAAAAGCCTCGAAGAGAGCAAGAAACAACCTAAGGTAGGGTCACAGATCACAGGGCTCACAAAGGGCGACAACAGGATGAATATTTATCACATCCAAGGATCAGGGGGAGGTCGGGTAGCCTAGTGGTTAAAGCGTTGGTTCGTCACGCCGAAGACCCGGGCTCCATTCCCCACATGATCACAATGTGTGAAGCCCATTGCCGGTGTCCCCCGCAAATATTAATTGCTATAATATTGCTAAAAGCTACGTAAACCCATACTCACTCACGCATTCACTCCAAAGGCTGTAACAACTTGTCCAAGCATGCTTATGCTGAATAGTTTTTAATTGTGACGTTTTCACTTCATGTCAGTTGACTTACTGATTTTCCCTTAAGCGAGAGAAAGGTGATATGACCGCGAAACGTACATACGTTTTGACAAGAATGTATTCTTGAGGTGCCGTAATCACTCACTGACGTTCCACATTCCTGGAAATAGCCCGAGGCAAACACTAGCGTTGTTTGTGGTAGTAAAGACACTTTGATCTTGTACCGAATGTAAAGAGCGCCGAGTATTTAACAACGTGTCTACGATGGGATACATTACGATAAAATGCTACGCAATGCCCACATGGCATGTAATTGCGATGTAGCACAATTCTCATCTGATAAGGAAAACGTTTCAGCATATTGGTTGCAACTAAACAGCACTAGGTGATACTGTTTGTTTGTTGTTTAACGCCACACTCGGCAATATTCACGCTATATGACGGCGGTTTGCAAATGAGCGAATCTGACCCTGACAATCCAGTGATTGACCTCTGACCAATGGAATCCAGTGATTGATGTGTCCTCTGACGCCCCATCCCGTTAGTTGGCTTTGACTGGGGATCAATTATAACCCGAAATGGACATCATGTGACATCAATATTTTTAAATTAATGACCAATTCCCACGTTCCTAACCAAACGGATACGATGACGAATACTCAAAATGACGTTAAGTCGTGTAGCACGAAATGCACGTGTGAACAACCGCTGGTCCGAACGTTGTGCCCACAGCAGTAAAAAGCGAGCCTCGAGAGAGAAAGAGCCGTTGGAATGGTCCGACAGGGAGCATCACACGCCGCTGTAGCAAGAACCGCCATCCCGTTAGTTGGCTATTTTACGACTAACATGGGATTGGGACACCGGATCAGTCGACAAACCGTTTGCTGCACATGGTATCCGTGATCAATTACCTGAACGTCAAAACGAACCTTCACGGGTCCGAAACTGGGCACGTGTCTTGTTTTCGGACGAAAGCCGGTTTTGCCTTTACAAGAACGAAGGTCGGCAGCGAGTATACCGAAGAGTTCCTGAACGTTTGGCGCCGAACTGCATCCAGCAAGTCCGTGCATTTGGAGGCGGAGGTGTAATGGTGTGGGGAAGTATCTGCGGTGATGTGAAAAGGCTCGTCATTACGGGGAACCTATGTACAGCGTTACCAGGATGAGGTTTTACGACCAGTCGTGCAGCCATTCGCCCAACAGCATCCAGGAGGAATCGTGTTCCAGCACGATAACGCTAGGCCTCATACGGCAAGATTGACCCAGAACTTCCTTTGTACCTGATATTTGAGCACATGGGCTCGGAAAATCAGAAAACTGCGCCCCCAGCCAACCTCCAACAATTGGAACATTGTCCGAGGATGAGTGGCGGGCAATTTTCTCATCAGGGACATACCCCAGTATGGGCCATCATCATCGCGTTTCACACCTGTGGCATATCTGTCTATGTTGGATATACATGTATGTTTCTTTTGACACAGATCCCCACGTACAACTCCCTACATGAAGGAGGTGCTCAAATTTGACATCAAACAGGTACGTGAATACTGACGGGTTAATGTAATTATTATATACTAATGTAGAGTAAACTACGTTTGTTAATACTCTAATTACGAATTGTGGTTTGGTTTGGTTTGATGTTTAACGACGCACTCAGCCATATTCCAGCTATATGGCGGGGTCTGTAAATAATCTGGACCAGACAATCCAGTGATCAGCAGCATGAGCATCGATCTACGCAGTTGGGATAAGATGACTGTGTTAACCGCATGTCAACCGCCTCTTACAAGCATAGGTTGCTGAAGACCAGTTCTAACCGGATCTTCAAGGGCAATTACGAATTGTGAATATCAAGAACTTTCTTATATTTCGACCACTTGGTGTATATTTTAGTCAAAATGTATATTTTAGTATGTCTTTAGTCGTTCAACGAACTACGGTTATAACGAACCCTTGGAATTCGTTATAACCGTAGTTGATAAATTAATTGCATTGTTTTAAACGATGTATTCTAAACATCTACAGTACGAAAACTGTCATCATTTCTCTTGTATGTGATGTGCCATCTGGATTACTTCCCTATGAGTAAATTCATTACTTCAACGCATTTTCTCTTTCAGAACGGAGTGTACTCTATGCTTCCATACTTGTGTTTCTGGGCCTGTATCTCGATATCTGGAGTGTTCGCTGACTTTCTCATATTACGGAAAATACTCTCCGTTACGTGGACACGGAAGGTTTTGTCTCTCATAGGTAGGTGAGATAACCTTAACATTGAAAAGCGAGAGTTTATACGAAACAGTGATACATTTTCATAAAATATATCTATCTGGTGGCAGTTACGACGATTAGGTATTTGTTTTTTGTTTTGTTTTTTGACAATTATTCTGTACATGAAATTAAAAAATGGAAATTAATTAAATTTACGCAATGAGGGCAATCATTCTATTTGATATCTACCGAAACTATTAACATATTTCACAAAATTTGTTATTAATATCACGGCCAAATACAAATAACGTAAGCTTAAAATGAAAAAGGATATTTGCGTAATTGTTTAGAATGTTATTTTCCTCCAACTTCATTATTTACCTTAACAATGTTTCTGTGTTGTAAATAATTTATTGTATTTTATTTCGACCACCAAATACTGAAGTTTTTAAAGCCAATAGCAGGGACAAGATACCATAAACGTTATAGACCTTACGATGCTAAATCCCCAAATAAAACACACACCCTTTTTGAGGTTAATATATATATATATATATAAGGTAACATCTGACACGGTAGAGGATGTAGTAGTCTGCCTCACAGTCACTGAACCGCAATATTTGCCTCGCCCGTTCTGTAATAATATTGTAAAGCTCTAAATGAAGTCTAGATAAATTTTCCTGAGGTTCCAAATCTCCGTTCTCACTTGGGCTCTTTTTCAGTTTGAAAGTAATTTTTGTTTCTATCGTAATTATGTATATTTAGGGACTAAGCGTTAGTCTGGGAATTTAGTGATGTTCCTCTGTTCATATCTCAATGCAAATGTACAGCTCACAAAGTATTTGTTTCACACAGGAATGGTGGGGCCGGCGGTGTCGTTGATAGGCGTGGCCTACATGGACTGCACACAGCACGTGGGGGCTGTCATTCTGCTGTGTGGCGCTGTTGGCTTGTGTGGTTTTCACTTCTCCGGTTACTTCATCAACCACGGCGACATTGCCCCCAACTTCGCCGGCACTCTGTTCGGCATCACCAACACTGCTGCAACTGTGCCTGGAATCTTGGCTCCCTACATCGTCGGTGCTGTAACTCCTAATGTAAGCAGTAGTTGGAGACATAAGTAGAAACGCATATCTTTATACACTTTTTCTCTAGTTAATGTCCAACCAATAAGTCAGAATTGTGTTTAAGGATCAAACGTAAACGATTCTGTCTCATACACTAGTGCAGAAAATGACTGATGTTTACTGACAACGCAGCTACACGAAGGCCTACAACAAGCAATAAAATTTCCCAAATGCAAATCATTCATTAACGTTTCTTCTTGGTTGATGGGTGAAACAAGTTGTTTCATTTTGACGCATATGCAGAAACTGACTGATTGTTTACCGACTTTGGATTCCCACACAGCTAAATGTACATTCGGAATATGTCCAAAACGTGCGTCTGTCCTTCATGAAAATGCATGCGAAAAAATGCTTTCCTTATTCATGTACTAAAAGCAGAGTTTATCATAAGTATGTGTTTATGATTCTCACTATCAAAAAGTGATACCACCAACCGGTGGCACCTGTCACAAACACGCGCAAAGGCAGGTCAATTGTTTACCTGGGAATGTAAATACACGAACATGTGGTAGAACTGATAACTGGGACTCGCATCATATATCACTCCGACTGCTGTGACCATCTAGTAATAGCTAGTGATAACTTTAATCTGACTGTGTTGGATCTTATTAATAAGACAGGGTCAAATAAGCTGGCAGTTGTGGAGGGCATGGATTGACACAGGATGAATGTGATAGTATTGTAGCGGTAACGTGCAAGGTGCTTGTACCTCATCACAAAAGATCCTTGTGATTATATACGATTTGACTTAGAGCAGAAATGTGATTCACTGAATCAGTAATCGCATTGTGTTTGTGGTAAAGATCTGAGGGTGAAACACGCTCTGCAGAGTTGTGTCCCTTTAGCCGTTCAGTTATAGTTAGAAGGGCACTTCCTCAAAGTCTAGAACCTGTTGATATAATGTCGGTTGATATAATAATTATAGAAGAGATTACGTCTTCAATCAGTGATGCAAAGTTTGATCATATGATGTCGTCTAGCACATTAAATGGTCACCCCTTGAAGAACATTGCGGTAATTGAACTAGTTTCCGTTTTCCTTAAGTGTCATTTTTGTTTCAGAAAAGCCAAGAAGAGTGGCGAACGGCCTTCTATATATGTGCCGGAGTTTACATATTCGGTGCCCTTGTGTATCTGGTGTTTGGTTCCGGGAAACAGAGACACTGGGCGAGAGTTATTGACAAAATGGAGGATGAGAAAGTATCACTTAGGAAACCAATAGTAAATGGACACCGCAAATCAAGGACAAGCCAGCGTGGTACCTACTTTGATAATGAAGAGAGCCATGTGACCATTGAGTGTGATCCTGGTGAAAGCTATGCTGAATCTGCCATTGTATAGATAATCTCCTGACCAAATGACACATGACCAAATGAGAATATATTTTTCTTTGCAGCCATGAACGGAGTCCTTGCCTTACAATATATTGCACCATGAAATATTGTATACTTTATTTTGTTACTATCCTTTACTAAGGTTACTGAACATTCTTTTACCATGGATGTTATCATGCACATTATTCGGACTATTTTACGGAATAGTTTTATTTTTCCAATGAAATGAATCAGTGTCTTATGTAAAATGTATTATATTGTTGCGCGCGTTATACAAATGAATGTTTATGAAATGCTGACGATTTTATATAGGACAGCAAGAGGACACATGTTGAATCAATGATGATCTGGAAACAACGGATACAGGTCGTCCGTAGCTCTACAACTGTTTTGTGTATGTGCTTAACAAAGAAACAAACAAGTGGTCGTGTGGCTACAACGGTTTCACCCTGGTAGATTAGACAGTCGTAGAGCTCCATTTGAATGTCCGGAGACATCCCAGTTTGAATAGTCTGTATCAGTATTATGTATAACAACTTCCAGCCAATACTTACATGGCAATAATGATATCATGAGCCTCTTGATTAGTCTAGACGGTTTTACAGAAGTTCGTGTGTTACTGTTTTCATATGCATATGTACAAACAGGTTAGGCTCCATGTATTCACCAATTGTAACACTATAGTGCTCCATGCCTCTATATGTCCATGCGCTTTTTCCAGAACTTGCAAGTGGATCAATATTGCCTTTAAAACACAGGACGGGTGTCTCACGTGCCTGTGTAATTCTCCTATGCACAATAATTATTGAGATTATGAACTTCGTGCCTAATTGCAGTCCAACTGCACAGCATTCCTATTTAATATGCGATAGTCAAGCTCTCGTAATGCTTACTTTGAATGAAATAACTTCTGTAAGTGGCATTTGTAGCTGCATGATGAAGAGGAACAATCTTATGGATAGACAACTTGTTCATTCCAATAGATGCGAAGTTTCGGTGTAGATGTCTCCTCTGTTGCAATAAAGAAGTTGTCTATCCATAAACAAAATGTTCATCTACTTGAAATAGTAAAAATTATTTGCAAGTATTGACACTTCTTTGAAGTCTAGCCTTGTATGTATGAAGCCTTATATTGGGAAGGTGCTATCTGTCTAAGAAACCTTTGTTTTGTATTGCTCCATGAGCGTATGTGTGGTGTGAGTGGTGTTGTATACTTTAGATATGAGTGTTATGAACACGGATACTTGAAATTAAAAAGTATTTTCTTGAAGAGTTGTTTCTATGTTAATCACAGCAACAATGATAATAGACTGAGTGATAATTCAAGTAACTTGATACACATGGCCGGGTAAGACAGGATTCCGGTACAGAAGATGTCCATAATAATGTCTCTTTGTGCAGGAGACGCCAAATGGTCGGATTGTCTGTCTCGGTGACCAGCGGGGCATCGTGGCCAATTCCAGTAACTTGATGCACATGGCCGGGTAAGACAGGATTCCGGTATAGAAGATGTCCACAATAATGTCTCTTTGTCTCGCCAAATGGTCGGATTGTCTGTCTCGGTGACCAAAGGGTCATCGTGGACACCTGACGTGGGATAGTGCTCGTAATATAATTATTGACAAGTTTCTCTGGATTTGACTGGCTCCTGTCAGCACATTTGAACAGCACAAAACAACACATAAGCCCCAAACCATCAAACTGATCTCAGAAACCGAACAGACCACAGAAGAGGACATGTGCACCTGCTGTGACACTTCTAGGTAAATGCTGCTATACTCTTTACAGTTTGCGCCTTCTGCAAGGAGGTCTGGTCATGGCGTAGAGCCATGCCATGGGTAGTCGTTGCGGCCGTCTCACTGTTGACACGGATACCTTGGTGTCTGTTACGGTGCCTTCCTTTATGAGCTGGCTTTTGTGTGTGAGTACATGGGGCTGTGAACGTCATATTAAGGTTCTCCTGTTGTGGATGTAGGGGATACTCGACGAGGATGATCCTGGACTAAATTGGTCCTTTGAAACCTGATAAACAGGTTGGATGTTGACGTTTGGAATCCCCATGGGCCGTTGCTATCGGCATCATCGTGGAGCAACGGAAAAGCATAATTTCCATATTCTTGACTTGAACTACATCCTCAATCAGCAATTCCTCCATTGCAACGACAACAATTCATGGTCCACTATAGCAGAATAAAATGAATGTGTTGCAGGATTTTGCCAAGGTTCTTCACATTCGAAAACGTCTGTCGTGCCTATGCACTAGCATGTTTTACAAAAGAGGTCAAATGGTTTGCTTTACATTCAGGGATTTCCTTCCAACAGCTTAGTGTCATATTTGTAATGTCACGTATCTTGTTTGCATATATTTGATAGTATATTTGCTGTTACGTGTTGTTTACAAGTACAACGCGAAACCCAAATCATGAAAGGCATCACAGTGGCACAAATATGTAACACAGCAATACATATTAGACACTATTCACTGTACACTAACCAATACCCAGTAGTTGTTCGAGTACAAGACATTTACATATAAAGCTAAATAACAACACGTACAACAGCCAAGATTTGTGAATTGTGACCTAAATGTTTGAGATATTGTGTATGTTTCGTCTTCCATATTCAACACAGAAAAAGAGGTTTGGAAAAACTTAAGGTGCTATTTATCAGACACATATTCTAAACAGCCATATGTCATATATTTAGCGTAATCGCAAAAAAAATATATACTGAGGGAAACAAATAAGGGAACACCACTTCATGGCCGTGTTCCTTTATTTATTCTCAGATTTCCTCCCACAGCCCTTTCTGAAAGCTGGTGATGAAAACTGAAAATATTAAAGGAACACTTGAATTTTCCTGTGCTCCTTTATTTGATTCTCTCAGTATAAAATCATGTTACTTAGTTATAAAGTCAAATATTATATCTTCTGTGTGATCTTCATTAAGACTGACAGTATTTCCTTCAAGATTACAAAGCATCTTCTTTGCGATCCACATTAAGACCGTCCACAACAGTTGCATCTTCGGCAGGAGGAAGAGCCCAGGGTTGAGGGGCGGAAGTAGAGAACAGGAAGACGATTGTTGACATCAGCAACACAGCTGCTGCCACGTAGAACGCAGACTGCCACTCACTTTGGGAACCCTGGAGGAACACACAGAAACAACGACATTGTGTCATAGGAAACACGCTCAATTACCTTGTCATGTGTGCCAATAAATGTATAACCACTGTTACATGCTTTTTAATAATTTTGTTTTGCATCCAGGCTGTACACCTAGTTATACAAATTATGTAATAGACTATATTTAATCAAGTTACATTCTTAGCCACCTGAAAATAACATAGCACACGGGAAACAAAATACAAATTTCCAATCATAATCATGCTATTTTCAGTATCTTGCAATACAGCTGCTAGGCTTTTGTCAAGTTCAGTGGGTACATGGGTGAAATGACCTCGTGTACAAATGAAATGCAAAGTATATATATCTTCTTGATAATCAAAGAATATATCTAGATACTGAAGGATTGGCTGAAACAAGTTAGATTTTGACTCAATTTCATGCAGAATACAGTGCTTATCACGATTCGATATCAGATATTCAAACCACTTGACATAGACATTTAATATACAATCTGTACAGATGATCGACGAAAGTGCAGGATATTCGCGATTTTTATACGTACATCATTTCAGCAGTAAATATGTAAACCTTCTGTCCTTCGAATTGAAAGATACAACGCCCTATGACGTAACCATTGGTGATTCAATCCCACAAAGTCCCCTAAATCCAACGCTTACAATACTTACTGTAGGTGTGAGTACTGACACTACATATGGCGCCACTATCCCTGGTATACTGGCAATGGTGTTAGACACGGCAAAGAGAGTGGCCGAATGGACAAGGGCGATTTCCACAAACGTTGCCAGAAACACCCCGGACAAGGAAAGTCCGTTCAATGCCCCAGCTAAACACAGCAAGACTACTGCAGGTATCTGACTTCTGGAGTCCAGCTGGGCCAGGATGATCATCAGGATTGCATGCAATCCGCTCCCTACAGACAAATAAGTGAAGTCTGAGGTTGAAGCATGTGTCTGAGTGAGGGTTATGGTGTAAGTAATTCTGCCATACTTCGTTTCTTCAATACGGGAGAAGACTTTATAAGGTAGATCTATTTCTTCCATCAATTCGATGAAACTCGCACCAACAGGGATAATGCCTTGTAGAGGGTAGCATACATGGACTTCCGCCATTTACTTTGATAGTTCTCACATCAAAGGACAAGTTCGCTCTTTATATAATTTTGTTTGTTCGTTTGTTTGTTTCTTGTTTAACGCCTCACACAGCAATATTCCAGCCATATGACGGTGGTCTGTAAATAATCGAGTGTGGATCAGACAATTCAGTGTCCAACATAATGAAAATCGATCTACGCCAAAGGAATACAATGACAAAAACCAGCGAGTCTGTGTTAGTCGCTTCTTACGACAAGCATGGGTTGCTGAACACCAATTCTGACCCGGATCTTCACGGGTCTTGTTTGTATAAACATTTGTACGACGTACATGCTTATGAACACAAGCTAATATTTTCTTGTTATGATCTTTGTAACCATTTCGGATCACCTTTACGTGAGTCGAACAGTATTTGTGAATGCCATTTCAACACGCCTATTTCTTCTGTCGGAAGCACTCGTACAATATGGTCTGGTGCCATTAAGATAATCCGAATGGCCCACTGCAAAATTCCTTATATCAAAACGCTGATGATTTCAGAATATTTTTGTACACGCCATTTGGTCTGATTTCAACATCAGTCCAAAGACATTTTAGAACTTATAACTGACACTTTAGTAAGAGATTCAGGTATGACCCAGCGTCTTCTCAGCTTCAAAGACCCGTGACGATCCGGGTTAGAATTGATTCTCAGTAACCCATGCTTGTCGTAAGAGGCGATCAGGTGGTCACATGACTTGGTTGACACATGTCATCGCATCCCATCGATGTTCATGCTGTTGATCACTGAATTGTCTGGTCCAGACGCGATTGTGAGGACACAATACCATTTAGATCCATATATTTCAGACTCGATCATTTACAGACCGCCGCCATATTGCTGGAATATTGCCGAGTGCGGCGTAAAACTAACTCACTCATTCACTCACTCACTCAGCTTCAAAATGTGTTTCTTGTGGAGGCCGGATCTACCTCAGGTGACCAAAGCTTCTGTATGTACCCCTCTGACGAAAGTAAATTGGTTCGGCTCACATGGCCGAAGTTATAAATATACAAATTGAATGCTTTTAACATTTTGAAAGTGGTGAAATGCAATATATGTTATTTGTGTTTTATTTCTGCGATTAGGTATTTAAGTGTGAGAGTGTTAGTTCGAATCCCAGATGGGACTCAATCCGAAAAGGGACTTGAATCTGTACATAACTGAAAAAGTGGTATCAGAAATGTAACATATGATGCATTTGACGACCTTCTGAAAGGCTATATTGTGTATACTATTCATAGCTTAAAGAATGTAAGCCATGCCAATTTACACTGGTCAGAGGGGTACAGAAACTACATGATCTAGACTACCAGTTGCGGAAGCTACGGTGGTCAGGTAGATTGGATCGCTGACTTTGTGTGCTAACGACTAGGTGCCTGACTCTGAGATAGTGGGTTGAATCTCAGATGGGACTCTCAACCAGAAAAAGTAACAGAATGTGTACTTGACTGAGAACGTGTAATGGCAGATATAACATACGTTGCATACTTTCTGAAAGGTAATGGGTATTGATCAGTTTCTATATAGTTTGTACCTATAGTGTTCATAATCTTCCTCGTGTTGTCGCGAGATAGAATCTGCTTCCTGATAACTACATCAGTCACCCAGCCACCCAGGAACATCGACAGACCAGTGCAGATGTAGGGCATCATGACAAGCAAGCCATTCTGTCGGCAAATTAACGGAGATTGTGATGGTCCAAGAAAAACGCTAACACTAACGTATATTACCGTCACATTCAAGAGGAGAAATCTTTCCGATAGTCGTACACACAGTTAACACTAAAGTAAATGAATGTCACATTCAAGAGGAGAAATGTGTCCGATTGTCCAAGAAACTGTTAACACTAAAGTAAATTAATGTCTCATTCAAGAGGAGAAATCTTTCCGATTGTCCTAGACACTGTTAACACTAAAGTAAATTAATGTCTCATTCAAGAGAAATCTTTCCGATTGTCCAAGAAACTGTTAACACTAAAGTAAATTAATGTCTCATTCAAGAGGAGAAATCTTTCCGATTGTCCAAGAAACTGTTAACACTAAAGTAAATTAATGTCTCATTCAAGAGGAGAAATCTTTCCGATTGTCCTAGACACTGTTAACACTAAAGTAAATTAATGTCTCATTCAAGAGAAATCTTTCCGATTGTCCCAGACACTGTCAACACTAAAGTAAATTAATGCCTCATTCAAGAGGAGAATTATATATCTTTCCGATTGTCCTAGACACTGTCAACACTAAAGTAAATTAATGTTAAATTCAAGAGGAGAAATCTTCGACAGTCGTAGACACTGTTAACACTATACTACATTTCCGTCACATTCAAATGGAGAAATCGTCACTATAGTCGTAGACACAGTTTATACTAAAGTAAAGTTACCGTCACAATCATAAGGAAAGATCTTTCCGATTGTCATGGACAGTGTTAATACCAAAGTAAATTACCGTCGCAGACATATTGAAAAATCTTTCGGACAATTTGTTTTTATCACTTACATAATATACAGAGAGCATTTAGAGTTCATTTATGAAGTCACTGCGATTTATGACATTCCCTGGACGATGTAATATTAAGTATGTGTTTGACCATACATGTATAAATATTTTATTCGGGTTGACAAGTGGGCAATAAAATTATTGCCATTTCGAATGCTGGTGTGTTTGTGCATGAGTACAAATAATGGTTACAAATATCAAAATCTTGATGTTGCAAAATCAGTACACAGCACTATGCGTCCCGAAGACGCACCATACAAATTCTGACCGTGACGAGCATCACCGTATTAGAGGAGGAATTCGTCACACAATCAGATTGAAGAATCGAAAGAAGTGTCTCATTTCGACACATTTACGTAGTTTCAGTCTTCTGCACATGATCCGTATGTTAGATAGATCTGATGACACGTCGTGTCCTAGATACGACTGAAGCCATTTACAAGTTTATGGATGTTGTGGATTTCAACCTACCGATTGAATGTCGAAATACATGACTTCATTGAAGTAACTTGGAAGCTGAAGCTGCAGCATGTAGTAGGCGTAGTTGTACAATGTGTGGGTGCAGATTAACGTCCACGTCGCCCGCGACCTCAACATATCGCCCCATGGCATCACCTGCGAAGACCATACATGTAGGACAAGTCTTTGATGTGTCTGATAACAATTGGATGACGTCTTCTACCTCTTGTGGGTATTGTATCACATTTGTTTCATTTTAGAAATTAGTCAATGCATAATGTGTGTATGTAATATTTTTTCGATCAATCGATCAAATTAGGGGTGGAATGCAAAGTAGTCGTTATGGCTAGTCAACCAAACTACGGTCTTGTTCCAACGAGACTAGCGTTGTCAGGAATGAGGAGTCCTCAGAGCATTATGTCTTGTGTAATACGAGCCATGACCGTGCAATCTCTATTTTAAGAACTGTTTCGACATTTGGTACATCAACTGGGTTAGACTTTCTTCAGTTTCAGTGTTCAGTTTTTGTACAATTTCCCTAACTGTTTAACCCTATAAGCTAAGGGGAATCTGTGGATCAACAAGACTGGTTGGTCGCTTGCCTTCCACTTTGTAGCATATATGTCTTCGCATTATTATTCGCTTGTATCAAATTTGATAAGACTAATAGTATAATTATCGTGGTAATACAATTAAACGATGATGATGATGATTACAACGATGTAGAGGCGTACCGTTGATCAACTACATTGCTGTAAATAAACTTGGTGACCCGTGAAGGTCCGGGTTAGAATATTGGCCTTCAGTAACCCATGCTTGTCGTAAGATACGACTATTGGGATCGGGTGGTCAAGCTCGCTTACGTGGTTGACACATGTCATGGGTTCCCAATTGCGCAGATCGATGTTCATGCTGTTGATCACTGGATTGTCTGGTCCAGACTCGATTATTTACAGACCGCCGCCATATAGCTGGAATATTGCTAAACTCACTCACTCACTCAATAAACTTGGTTCATTTGTTTTTAACCGGACATACCTTTTTCGCATGGATGCGTGATTTGGTAGTTTGTTCTATGTACGTTTTCTCAGCCACTGAAATCCATGGTTGGTCACGTGGGTTATCTCGTGAAAGAAACAACCATGCTAAAGACCACGCTAACCCGAGGCCACCTAAAAAGGTAGAAAAATCAAAATGTTGAACTGAATTATTAGATCCTTCTAATTCTTGACCAATATTCTACAGACACACAGTGACCTTCTGCGCAGAGTTATACCAACAGTTTTACGTATATAGTGACGTAAAAATAAATATCATGTACTTTTAATCTGTGAAGTTTATAGTTTTTCCCGTAATACACTTATTGGTAAATTCATCAATTCTAACTCTCTAACATGACTTCTTTTTTTTCTTCTATAATTTCTTCTTATAATTATGATATTTTGCATAAAACTTCATATTTTTTTATTAAAGCACAACAAATACGGCAAAGTAATATATAATATATTGATATCATCTATTTGTACTATTTTATGCTATCGTATGTATGTAAATATGTATTATGGGCAGGGATATTTTTGTAACCCTGAACTTTCAGTATTGTGGGTCGAGGGCCTTATACTGAATATAAATCTGTCTGTAGAAACGTAACTAAATTATAAGGAATGAATCTTCTTGTCTTACAGATACACACCTGTAACATAAAAAACTGATGGCCATCCACCGTCTATACCAGACCTGCACAGGATTCCAGACAGCGGGAAGACCAGAGCAATTCCAACCTCGATACCTAGCTCGCAATGCATGAAATACATAAATTTACTAAAGTTCACCCTCACTTGATACAAATTCAATCATGATTTGTTTATCAAAACGAATGCCATTAAATGCAGTAGATCCTCACACAAGCCTTAGGGTATAACATTTGTAAGTTTGTTGTTTAAAGCTACAATCAGCAATATGGGGACGGTCTGTAAATAATCGAGTCGATCCAGTGATCAACATCATTAATATAGTTCTCCGCAGTTGATACGATGACATATGTCAACTAAGTCAGCGGGCCTGACCACCCAATCCTGTTAGTCGCTTCTTACTGAAGACCACTTCTAACCCGGATAGATTTAAGTCTGAATAGGGAAACGTCCCGAGCAAAACAGTGCATACGGTACAAAATCAGTATGATTTGCGTTGAGTAACACATTGTTCATTATACCCTCCTTATACTAATGGATCCTTGGATTCTTCAGACCAAACCAATGTTGCCGTGATGAGAAAGAACGCAAACACGTGTTAAATAATGTTGTTAACGGGTTATGCACCAAATTCTCTTTTATTGATCTGTTTCATATTTTAGATCATGGTTTTGCAGCTGTTATTTACCTGCAAATGCGATACCCTGTAACGTTGAAATTTCGGATTTGGGTGCCCAGTGTATCCAGAACGCCGGAACCGATGTGCACAATACTGACTTAAAGAGAGATGGACATGGGCGTTTGAATCAAGAGGTGGATTGCATGAATAACAATAAAACATGTGTTTTGGAAGACCCACACACAATGCAACTGCTCGATCATTATTTGGCAGTTCTCATCATCATATGACTTTTATGGTCCAACAATTGTTTTATTTGATTATATTTTTATTAATTATTAAATTTAATAAAGCATTGTGAGCATCGGGTGTTTTCGGGGAGACTAGAAATGTTACCCCTTTGGAAGCACCTGGAGTTTTCACAAAATTTAAGACATCTGTTCAAACAGTTTTCATCAATAATTTGTCTTTATGACTCAAAGGAAACTGTTTCTGAAGTTAATTGAGACTCTTATTCTCTCTGCTTGAAGGTTATGTTTACATAGAAAGAGAAATGATTTCAAACCGCATTAGTGAGTGCCCTCATGTACATATAACATGGGTCATGTTCTGTTGACTAATATAATCACAACTACATCCTACAAAGATAAGTTGTTCAAAGAATAAATCAAACCTCATGTCAGCTCTCACCACAAACGCTCCAGTAAGGATCCTGATAACCACAAACATGTAGACGTTGATGCGGGCCGCTACTGGCGATACCAAGGCTGATGCAGAACACAGCATCAACCCAATCCCAGTGACATATCTGGGACCAAATCGTTCGGCAAGCATCCCACAGGGAATTTGGAGACATAGGTAACCCCAGAACATTGAGCCAAGAACAATGCCTTGCATTTCTTTGTTCCATTCAAACTCGCCTATCTGGGAAAAACACCCACACAAAGACCTTATGAGTATGCCAAACACTTGCATTCATTAGGTTGTGTTGAGTTGTTAAATCATTAATTATGATGCAATACGATTTTTCATGTCATTAATCATTTCTTGTTGATTTGGTATCATTTGTTTGATGATATTTATTTCGCATTCACTTAAATTATTTGTTAATTACATTTATACATATAGTGAGGGGCCTTTGGTCATTTTTCGAGTGGCTTTTGTCCAGAGTGGCTTTTGGTCGATTGGCTTTTGTACCAAGGGACTCTTGACCTAGATTCGCTCCAAATAGCGTGGGGGTGCTAATATGTAATCTAAAGGGTGGTGCGTGCGATGTTCGATACCTGGCCGATAAATATACAGTCGGTCTTTACAGGTGCGAACCACAAAGATAGTAACACTACATTATTGCGACTGAGCAGCAACACATAACCTGTATTGATACATGGGAAACACGCGGTGTATTAGTAGTGGAATAAAAGGCAAAATGTACACTTTTTCGGACCCTTTGGGGAGACGTGACTAGTTTAGAGCTTGCATAAACTTACTGAACGTCATACTCACTTCACCATCGCTGGTAATTGCACTAGCCATATGATCGGAATGGTGAAAATCGTAGCTATTGTTTGAAAAATCATCATGTAAATCTATAGAGTCTGAAGGACCCGTAGTCGAGATGGATGACTTGTTTGTTAACCTTCCTCCAAGATCCCCATCGTTGGTTAGGTTGCTGTAAGGATGACGAACCATACAGACAATAGTCAAGCCAAGGTTCGCTCGCAAACAGCTCCCTAAAGCCAGTCCAGTGGCAAGAAGTAAGGCAAGGAAGTAACGACACTTTCCCCGCGTGCGTTCTGAAACGATAAATGTAACGGACAAGTTTTGGTGAAGGAGTAAGGACATATTCCGAAACGTTGTGTTCCTCATTATAAAGAGGTTGACATCTATTATGACATCTCTTCCTTATGCGTATCACTTCTAAATGCCATAAAGACATATTATTACCCATGTGGTACTTCGTGAAGTGGTTTCATAACAAATTGTCATGACACGTATAACACCTTCGAGTGATTTGATTGGCTGATCGGTGAACTGTGACATTACCGGTACTACTTTCATCGCTCATTCCATTCATGATTTTCATTCAGAAGTTTTCACACCTTCTGGAGGCATGTAAAACGAGAACACTTCTATGAAATTAAATAAAATGTATTTTTTGGTGTGGTTACAAGCATAGGTTTTCAATCTTTTAATAACTCGAGTTTCGGTACATAAAAACGAAAATAAAACAATCTCAATAAGTAAACAAATACGTCTACTAAGTCTATCCTGAGTATAAACAAAATGGCGTCGCCCGGAAGAGTTGTGAATATTATCAGGCCATTGAATACATTCAGCGTGTATGTTGTCAGGACTGCACAGGGAGTTTCTAACACACATCAAAAGATGAGCGGCGCTCTTGTAACTCGATCATTGCCACTGTCAGCCGCGTCCACTTGTCCTCCCAAACAAAACATGTGTTCTACTGCCATTGACATGCCTCCCGTGGTTTCTCATATAGGGGTTGAAAACACTTCTCAGAGTCAGAACACAATAGGCTTGAAATCGTCTTCATTCGAGATGAGTGATGATAACGTTGGTTCTGGGCGCAAATGTTGGTATTTTCATTTTGAACGATGGGTAACCGTGGAACAAACGTTCATATCCGGTTTATGACCATCAACAAAACAGCAAAGCGATAATCGGCAAACAAAAGCAAAATTCTTCAAGCTTTGATATCGAGATGGTTTGATTCTCCTCCATTCATTATCGGTAATTTAGCGAGAGAACTGCCGTCTTGAATCATTCAATATGTCGGTATGTTTCCGCGTCAGGTTCGCCAACGAACTTCCGGCTGCAAATATGGTTGCTTATTCGAAAAAGATGGGATCGTTCTCAACATTTTCCACCATATCGTTAAACGGCTTTCATTCAATGCTCGGTATTATTTTCAAAACGTTCGTTTTGAAATGATACGCTGATTATTAACGCACAGAGGTGGACGGTTCTGGGCTTCCATTCATTACCGAATCCATTTCGCAAATGCTGCCAGTTTTCCGGAACGAAATCTACATGATGAATATCGTTGAAACTTCGACATGGCGAATCGGTGGCACTTCGGTGGAATTCCAAATTGGACGGTCAATTATCATCCAGAACTGATGATGATGATGCGAATGCCGAAACCGGATGGCCAGCCGCTCAACTGGTCAGCGCAAAAGCTCAGCGGGTTATTGATGGAATGAGAATACCGGACGGAACCGGATCGCCCTGGGGTGTTCATTCTTCGGTAGAGCGGTTCGGGGTTAACGCTTCGCCATGCTACGCATCTCGGACCAAAATTCAACGGTCATGGAAACGCCTGATGAAACGTGAATTACTCAACGGTCAAGCGAACTTTGCCAGCTGAACAGAATCATTCCTGAAGCTGGGATCGCAAACATTCGGTCAGTCTGGCGTATTATGATGGCGGTGGTATGTTTCCCTCTTTAACGATATTTGACGACAACTGAACTGGCGCAACTTCGCCATGGTTTTCTGGACTTTACGTGGATGACTGGATCATTGTTTGCATTCAATTGAGCGGTTTCGATCAAATCCGCTTATAACGGGAAAAATGTTTTGACGGGGATATTCCGGTGATAATGGATATTCGTGTTGTTGGAACTGGGCCTTCGGTTTCCATGCAGCTTCGAGCACTGAACGTTGATTAAACGCATTGTCGATGCGGATGAGCTTTATGACGGTGTATTATACCATGCCGTGGCTAAACCATCCGCTGGAACCTGAATGGTACAGCAATTATGAACGACGACTGAACAAACGGAATCGCGAAGTGGATTTCAATGGTACCATTGATTTGCATTCAAATTCATTCGACGAGTACAAGCATGCCATCAATGAATTTCATTTATGAAATGCGGTTTCGTGCTGTTCGTGATCACCAATATTTTAACCGTATCGCTATAACGGCGGGATTATCAATTTTAGTTCCAATTAACAAAAAAATCATAAAATCATACCCATTCAATGTCCACCGCATTCATCGGAAACGCATGATGCGCAGCATTAAGAGTCTTTGACGATATCATTAACGGTATCGGAAAACGTTGCCATTGAATGGTACGAACTGATAAAACCGTGTTACCGATCACGAATCCTGGTGTAAAATTATACTGGATATCGTTATATTCTGGTGATTTTGTTGCGGTAATTTGGGGCTATCGCTAATCACCAGAACAAGGAAAAATATCGAATCGTTATCACCGCTCGGAACCTCCGCTATTATCTCGAATGACGTTCCTTCAACCATTCGCGGTGAATAATGCAGGTCGCACGCAATCGCTGAACTGAACGAACTTGATATGATGTTTCCGCAATCAGCGAAAATGTTTGAGATATTGCAAGCTTCGGTTCAAATCCGTTAACGCCGATGGCCTCAAGAACAACAGAATGCTTTTGTATCGATGGACGACGGTTTAATTTTACATAATTTTCAGCTGGACTGTTCTTTCGCTTCGCTTCCGGACTTCATGAATCGCCATCATGCAATACCGGAGGTACGGCGAATCAGCAACGCTTATCCTTCAACAATAAACTCAATTTGATTGGTGATATAAAAATAAGTGTATTGTTGTACTCCAAATTAACCATGGATCGAATTATACCTTGACTGCATGCGTACTATCGCAGTGTATCGACTTTGATTGCTGTGGTTAATTATGACCATTGCGGCGAAGTGAAGATCCGGTTAATTATTGATGTTTAGTAACACCTTACATCAATAAAGAGGCGATGGGGACGGTGGGTGAACTTCGTTGACTTCTGAACGCCATCAAATATCGATGCGTAAAAAAGCAATTCGGTGATATTGATCTTTCGAATATTGAAATCTGGTCGGACTTTCAATTTATTTTCGAAGATACCGCAGATGCTGGAGGCGGCGTAAAACCAAAACTTCCTCACTCACTCATCGTGATACCGCAATTGTATTCAATTTGTGGCGAACAACAGCGCCATCTCAATGACCTGCATTTTGTGTCGCCGCTCTCTAAAATTATTCCGCTTCGGCTATAAGTGAAACTGCTTTCTATCAAGTTTGATAACCTGCACCATTTAAAGCTGGATTATTCCAATTCATACAAGAAATGAAATTCATCATATCAACGAACGAACCATAATGATTTGAAAGTTCTTATTCCTTCGATTTGGCTTAAACTCGGTTTTTAATAAAACATGGTTTTCTTCGTGAACAAGAAAAACTATTCATTTCGTCATTCGAGAACTGGCCAGTGCGTCATATTCGGTCAGCCATCGGTTCATTCAGTTTAATGCCGATCATCGGTTGCTCATTGCAGTTCGCTATCGTTGCTCGCTCGGAACCATCTTGCGAAGCGTTGATCGGTTCCACTCTAAAACCGGGCTCCATTGGTGGAATATGATTGGGGATCTTACCAGCGGTGAGCCATTGCACTCACTGGGATCGCCAATCAGGCTGACCATCTCGCCTGGATGCCGGATAACGGTTAAATGTTGATTGCGCGTCAGGCGCGTCGTGCTGAACTATGAGTTCGCATTTCGCTGTATGGACTGGCGGGTGTGCGTGGTGCCGCGTAATCGGACGACGTTTCTGCCACTGCGTTACCATAAGCCGTAATTGTCAGATGCAGTTCATGGTGTCCGATTCATTTACTGACGGCTAACAGGTGAAAAGCGTGTTATGGGAGGTCGAGATATAAATGGTCCGTGGCAACTGATGCGCTCGCCGGCAGCATCTGTCGTATCGAACCAGCCGTACGGCTAAATGTCATAATATTTTCCATTTCACCGGACGACCGGATATCTGCCAGTTCAATTATATCCGCCGATCTTCCGTCGCGGGGATACAAAGAAGGTGCTGAGGATTGATGAGCGAGACGAACTCCGAATTATTCAGCAAATTACGAACATTCGTTCGGGAAAGGATTAGCGGCATCGCCTGAATATCAAACATCACCAGTTCGCCATCGTATGGTGCCTGGTTGAAATAACCGCTGATATGGCTGCATCGACAATTCGCCATCATTATGGATTTTGCTGAAAACCGCAGATATCAGGCATCGTTAATTACCATCATTCACTCCGTTTACTGAACGAAAATACGCAGGTGTCAGCATCACCGGAACGCCATCAATGCTGGTGCCTGAACGAAGCCTGGGTATCAAAATTTTGCCGAAATTAACGCAACGCAAGTTTATGGACAGGCGAAGAAAATGCGATGTCGGCATCCGCTGAACGCCATCAATGCCAGGGTGCGCGGATGAGAGAAAACCACCGATGTCAGGCATCATTGACCTTCCATCAAATACTGGCTTTGCGTATGGTTCCAGGGAAAACACCGATGTCGGCTGTCGTGGATCCATATCATGTGGGTTGCGGACGAAACCACGCTGATGTCGGCATCAGTGACCGCCAATCGACCGGAACATGGATGAACGCGCCGATATCGAACATCATTGTGCCATCAACCGCCAGATTTTGCATCAGAAAATATGCGGGATGTCAACATCGACGGTGCATCGTGCTGGTGCGCGTAGAACTCTGGAGTATGAACATCGTCGGTCGACATCGGCCTTCCAGGTTGCTGGACGAATATGCCGTCATCAAATCAAACCGGTGTACCATCATTGCTGGTTGCATGGTTGAAAATGCCAAATCGCCAAAACATCCGTGAACCGCCATCGACAACGCCGGGGTTGCGCCTGAACTGAAGAAAACCGCGATCATCAATATCGGTGGATGCCATCATTAAGGTGCCTTTCAGGATGAAAACCACGCCGAATATCGACATCAAATTGACACCATGTTTCCGCAGACCGCCAGACGAAGAAAATGCCGATGTCGGCATCAGTGGTCCATATCGGCTTCGCCGGGTTTGTGGACAGAAAACGCGGATATAAATCAGTGGGTCCATATCCGTTGCCAGATTTTGCCTGGACGAAGAACCGCTGGTCGACATCATCGGCCGCCATCGACTCAGGATTTTGCATGGTTGAAAATATGATATCGAAACATCAATTCAGTCATCATCGGCCAGTTACTGGGATGAAGATATCATTTATCGCCGATTGCTCATCGGCGCCAGTTGCCTGGACAAACACTTCGTCATCGACATCATTGATCGCCATCGGCTAACCGTTGCAGGTTGCGGAAACCGAACGCCAGGCATCGACTACCGTCCGCCATCGACCGGGATTGCTGGTTGGGAAAACCACAACGTCCTGGACATGGACGAAAATACATTTCGCCAGTTTACATGGACGAAAAATGCGGTATGCTGGTTGCATGAACGCCACCGATCATCGTGCAACCGCATCATCAAACTTCCATGATTTGCATGGATGGAAAATACGCCGATCATCCGACATCGTTAAATTATATCGAAAATACCGTTGCATGGTTTGAGAAAACCGGAATCCAGGCTGTCGTCAGATAACCATCAAACTTCGGGTTACGCCTGGACGAACCACCAGTATGTGGGTTGCGCTCAGTTGAAAATACGAAACATATGGATGCGTGGACAGAAAATGCATAAAACCGCCGCAGTTTGCATGAACAGAAAACCATGATGGTATCGACTGTTACATAATCATAGTTATGGACGAAAATACGATGAACATCCATGGGCAACTATCGAACGCGCAGATAACATGATCGCGCGGTATCCGTCATTGCTCCGCCATCAACCGTTTAACCGGACGAAAATACCGCGATAACAAAGCATCGTTGAACCATCGGCTGCCGATTTTGCGGACGAAAACCTTCGCTCAAGCATCCATGGCCCATATCAATGCCGGTTTTGGTTGGGAAAATATGATCATCACGCTTATCATGCCGCCATAACCTAACGGATTGCATCGGTGAAACGCATGATATCGATATCGTGGTCCATATTCGGTTACGCATGGACGGCATCCGCCGATTATCGAAACATCGCCAATAAAATCAATGCTGATTTCGCGTGGATAAAATGCGGTTTGTTGAAAGCTACCGCTCAGTTTACGCCGGACGAAAATGCAACCATATGATTTGCTCTGGACGGGCGCCGATCGTATCATTGACCATCATCAATGCATGATTGCATGGATGAGAAAAATATACTGATATCAGCATCGTTAATTCCGCCATCAAATATGGGTTGCTGGTTAAAATACCGTTCGCCGAAGCATCGACAAACTCATCAAATACTGGTTTTGCTGGAACAGAGAACCATGATTTACGTAGGACGAAAATACGGCTCATATGGTTACGGACTGAAGCCGGCTACGCCGGTTGCGCTGGACGATATTCAAAACTTATCGGTGGCCACCATCGATACGGTTCGCTGGACGAAGATACCGGTCTCGGCATCGGTGGTCCATCAACCATGGGTTATGAACGAAGATACTGACCATCTCAAAATCGGTGAACCATATCAACCAACAGATTTTGCGTCGGTTTGAAAAACCGATATCGAACATCGGTCAAACTCATCATGGCACGGACAGGGTCGCCGTGATGTTGTTGCAGCCACCGCTATGTACACCAAACCGATATTGTCGGTCAGTTCATATCCTCAATCCGTATACCCGTAGCAATCGTTAAAAGTCGTATGCGCTGTGCAATGTATCAGGCGTGTTATCAAGAATTGAATAACAAAGGTATATATCACCGACGATATTCGGCTTCATTTCCGTATGCGCCGCTGGTGGCGCAACAATCGTTCCGCATCGTGCCAGTGGCAATCAAACTGGGATTCGGAAGGCGTGCGCGTCTGAAACTGGAACACGTAATAACTGGAAAGAGATCGGCCGACGACTGGTAAATGCGTCAGTTCTGGCGATTCGATGGTCTTCGACGTCGCGGCATTCGTTATTCAAATTCAGAAGTTCCGGGCAGTTCGTTACTGGTTCATTTTGGATTATGGTGGTGTGTTTGGCTGTCAAACCGTCAGGGCTGGTGAACGTCGCCATGGGACAACGAAAAATCCCTATAATTTAGGGATATGGATCCTCTCCGATAAACTGCGTCTGGTTCGGGAGGGTTTATGAAGGTCAGGAAGTTGGACGGTGCTGAATAAAGCGCGTTTTCATGAATCATCTTTATTAACCTTACGACGAATTCTGATTGGTCGTCGCTCGCTAATGAGGACGGGAGAACTCAAGTTGACGGTGGTTTTCATCAGTTTGAGTTTTCGACAATGATTCTGTTATCGGCATTTCTTAGATCCAACCTGGCCAGGTTGGTGGCTTCGTTAAAGATATTGCTTCAAAGGCTGGATAAATCGTCTTTCAAATATCGTTTATGCAAAATAATGGGTCCTGGCGGATCATGATTCACAATGGATCTTCATTATGGTTTACTAAAGTGAATGGGTTAGTTCAAAGCCTTCATCTCGATCTCGATCATATCTTCATTTAAATCTCGGCGGATGCGTAATCATGGCTGCTCGAAGCTGTTCCGCTGAAGTCATTATGAAATGGCTATTAACTGAATAAGCGATCGTTGGTAAATGGCGTTTTTAATTCGGGTTATCGATTGATTCGATCATCGGTTCGTCATCGAGTTCGTGGTGGAACTTCAGTTGGTTTCGTTACGAATTAATGGATTTTATTGATATTCAGTTCAAACCCGGATACCGGGATGAAAGAATCAAACGGATATTCGATGGTTGGTTGTTGTTGGTTTCGTTAACTCTATGTTTTCAAAACCGGAATCGGTCAGATACTATTGGTCGTCGTGGCACATCAAACTCTTCGCTGTTTGGGATATATCGTAAGTCATCGGAAGGTGAAGATATTCGTCATAACCGGACGATAAACCGCGGTGCGGTTTCGTTAAGAATCGGGATGCTGTCACGGACAGGATCGATAACGAACGCAATCAAAATATTAAATCGCTGCTCTCAAAACACAATACGATTTCATCGCTGAACAGAAGGTACGATTGATGATCGTTTGGACGAATAATAAATATATCAAATGAATGTTGATGGAACCGCGAAGACAAAATATTCGGTTGTTACGCTGCGGGTTGCATATAAACTCGATGGCGTCAGTTCATCATCACTCCGCTAACGTTATCATCGACCTTTAACGTTATCATATCCGTGGAACCATCTCAATAAACGTTATCATCAACTGGCGTTATCGCTTCACGACTCAACGTTATCCATATTGGTTAACGATATCCATTTATCGACGTTATCGCTCCATCAGCAGGTATCATCCATTATCGCGTTATCGCTCGCTTTACCGGGGACAATGGAACTGGCGTCGCCGGACCGACGGTCCGTCTCAAAGATGATATCGTTGAAGCGTTTAAATTGAATATGTCGACAATATTGGTCAACTGTCGGCAAACGATCGTTTCTCCGGCGACCGGGGAAGGATATCGGCGAACAACCTCGAACCGCCATGTTGAACATCGTGACTTCAAAGATTCGTCAGACTTCATGCCGGTCGACCATATCGCCGCTGACATAATTGATCTGTGCTATAATCATTATGGTTATTCGATCCAGCTTGGACATTTATATCGTACTAATTCGGCGCTGGTTCTAAAGTTCTATTTCTTATCATAAGAAACAGGTTCTTTCAACTTGTTAAGTGTGTTAAACATACTAGACCTAAGTTCTATGTTTTATCAAAATATGGCATGTGTCATGTTCAAAACCAAACCAAAATTCAATGCAAAATTCTATGCATGTACATGCCTACCACGACATTTGAAACGTGCATGAGCGTATTTATGCATACCATGTATTTATGCACATCATCACGAATTCATTTAACAGTTTCATGATACCTCCAGTACACATCCAACATAAAACATTATAAATGCGAAAGGGAATTAAGGTCCCGGTAAAATATCACACAGAAGAAATAATAAATACTCACCGTCGGGGTTAGCCGAGACACCACATAGGGTGCGACTATCCCTGGTATACTGGCAATGGTGTTAGACACGGCGAAGAGAGTCGCCGAATGGGCAAGGGCTATCTCTATATAGGAAACCATAAACCCTCCAGACCAAGCAAATGCATTCACTGCCCCTGCTAGACACAGCAGTACGACTGCGGGTACTTGACTCCTACAGTCGAGCTGCGCCAAGGAGATCATCAAAACTGCAGGTACGGCGACAGCTACAGATGAAATTGTCGGTATGAAGGAGAGAATTTGTGGATGGCAACTTCTTTATTTGAGGAACACGACGTTTCGGAGACAGTCTTATTCCTCGATCAGTGGAATGAACTGGCAAAGGAGTAAGAAGGAAGAATGAGTAAGGATATACCCCGAAACGTCGTGTCCCGCTAAATAAAGACGTTGACATCCATAAATTCTCGCCTTTATGTGTATCACTTCTAAATGTCGTTCAAAGACTGGTCGATGTGAGTTAAGAGGTGCCTGTCGAGAAGATTTCATGGAATTAGGTGCTCTTGTCAGTCTTTCTCTAATTTCGCAGCTACAAGTTTACAAGTGTACACGTGTACAAGACCACATTGAAATAAACTGATCATGGAGCGCTGCGCTCCAGTACTTCTTAAAATTAATTTCAAAGATTGAAATGTTAACATGTGCAGTAACTGCTGCCTCCGTGGGATTTCGTCTGAACTGACAGACAAGAGAAATGTAAACCCATGTCTAACGGTAGATAAAAATGAAACAAGCAATAAATAGTATTTCGAAGTTCTTAAAGTTCATACGTAAACTATATTTTCGTTTGGATACTACATTTATAGCTTCGTAATATTTCGATAACCTTTGTAATTTGTTGGGGTCAAATCAAGTGTATGTTTTTCGGCAGTTTGTGAGAACAATGTTAGAACAACACTTGAAAATTACATTGACAAACAACAACCGCTACACACAAGTAAAACCAGTAAATACCTATAGAGTTCATGAGCTTCCTTGTGTTGTCACGTGACAAATAGTTCTTCTTTATAAGGGTATCTGCCAGCCAGCCAGACAAGAACACGACGACACCAGTACACAGGTAGGGCATCATGACAAGTACACCGTTCTGAATGTGTCGTAGGGGAACAGATAATATACCTCAATATAAAGGCTCTCACATTGTAAATATAATTTTGAACAATTCAAAGTCATGAGTTATGTTCTTCTCTCACAAGAATATATATTGAAGAGAATATTCATTCTCCATTGTCTGCCTTCATTCGGGGTTTAATCAAGTCTTTGTTAGTTTGTTTTGCTATATTCGATGTATATGACGGCGGTCTGTAGTTAAAGCAGTCTGGGCATGACAATCTAGTGACTGACTAGATTGCGTATATTTACGCAACTGGGATACGATGACATGCGTCAATCATGTCCACCCGATGAAACATGGGTTGGTGAAGGCCAATTCCAACCCGGATCGTCACCGGTGTTAATGACAATTTTGTGAATGGTTCACTTATAACCATTAATGACACCAGGTGTTCTCAGAAAGGATACTTTCCTGAATATCTTAATCACCTTAAAATATAAAAAATAAATAATCATGCAAAAGACGATAGATAGTCAGCTGTGCACAATTTGAATTACCGATTGAATGTCGAAATGCATGACCTCATTGAGGTAAGTTGGAAGTTGAAGCTGTAGCATGTAGTAGGCATAGTTGTACAATGTGTGGGTGCAGATTAACGTCCACGACGCTCTTGATTTCAGCATATCGCCCCATGGTATCCTCTACATAGAACACAGACGTGGAGACATTTAAATACATAAGGCACGAATAAAATATGTATTATGTTATCAATGAAAATCTCATCATCACTTATATTTCGCTTTGACTTTACCATTTTCGTATTTTCAATATGACAAAAAGACATGCACATGGAGGATACAGGGGATCATGGTTGGTCTGTTTGATAGTTAGCACTGACTTTTACCAAACAGGCTTGGTAACAGGGACTTCTCGAACTGTGATCGAGTCCAGAAAAAGACACACCTGGTGAGATGGCCATCGAATCCAAAAGGTTCGTGTTTGGGATCTTCACGAAAGAAGGGTACATGAAAATAACGTACCACTTGCCAATCATCAGCGTTTCCTATATTGGACCCGGAACTAATCTACGTCTACTTTATGTTCACCAAGAAGTTGTATTTGTAAAAGGTTCAGGTTGTTAGAAAAACGAGTCACGTATTAAAATCCTTAATGCAGCATCTATATACTGTAATGTAAATGGGGTATCTCCCACCTCCGCGTTCAATTTCGTTAGAGGTTAGAGATCACAAGCAAACAAATGTATAAATTCGATTAAGTTACAATACGATAAACCCCAAATTTAGTACAGAGCAATATTACTGCAACACTATTTGAGTCAACAAATGTCTGAATAACAATGGCTTAGTATGGGTGAGAAGCAAGCATTCATTCTTATTTTTGGAAGGCACATGGTCATTTGATATGCAAAACGAACGCACTCTTTTCATTGTATCTATTTCAACAGATGATTGCTACGTATTAATATACTGATATAGGCTATCATTTGGTAATAACACTGCACCATTAGCAGCCAAAAAGATAACAATTTGAATTATGTCTGGATGATACTAGATTTTCATTTTCACAATGTGAAGCCAATAACCAAAACAGTATAGGGCTCAAAGCTCAACCCTGTCTAACACCACACTACAAGTATTATTTGAGAACTGTTAAATTGTACGGACATTCTGGCATATATTTGGATGTTTAGATGATGTACCGGTGTTATGAAAAACTATCCAGAACTAAAACCTATTTGAGGAAATGTGATTGTACAATATGCAAGTTATGTACATAGTTTGCGTCTCCGTTTGGAGATCAATCGTACTACTGTAACTGATTGTAAAATGTTTAGAAAGCATGGTGGAACCCGGCTTGGCATGTCAAGAACTGCAATTTTGTATTGAAAGTGTGACTTTAATAAACACAGCTAGTAAGAAAATTCGCAGGCAAAGGCAAGGCAAACGTTCACCGCGAAATAGAACGGAGCATATGGCACAAGTCAAATTCTATAACTGTATTAGATCGGAGATGGGCCGAATATGGAAGGTTCCTTAACCCGCCCACCAATTTAAAGCTTTACAATGACCTTGGGTACCATAACCCTTTTCAAACAAAGACCGGTCAGACTCAAAGTTATAGGGTTTGTTAAATAACTAGGACACATTAGTTCATGCTACCATGTCACAGTCACAGAAGAAATAATTCTGTTAATAGCTCAGTGTGGGGTATTCTTTTCATAAAAATACAGTGTGACATGAAAGGTAAATTACGACCCGAACTACTGTTTATGTTATACATATGTTTCACCATTGCTCATTGGTGATGAATAAGCATGATACTAATGATGCCTGTCATGTACATGTTTGTGTACACTCTTCAAACCAGTAGTGCATAGTAGATAATACGAATACTGAGTTTGTGCATTCGTGAAACATTCAATACAGATGAAGACTAAACAATCAAAGAAAATATAATTATCTGGCTTCGTAAGAGGTATATTTAGGTATTTATTCGCCAAAACGTCATATTTTAAGATGGAAGTCTTGCTTGGCGTGACCAGTTTCTGATTAACTTTCATTTGCCATACCTTCTCTTTGTGTGTCCGTGTTTTTGTATGTCGTTCTATGTAGGTTCTTTCATCCATTGATATCCATGGTTGATCACCTGGTTTATCACGTGACAGTAATATCCATAATAAAGACCATGTAACCCCGAGACCACCTGCATGTAATGAGACATGGATATATTTGCATATTAACAGCAAAGCAGTTATACCTTGGGCTAATACGACGAAACATTAATGCGGTGTGTACACAGATGGTATATTACGTAATCTATAGAGCAGTCACTAATTTGTTAGCTGTTATATAAAGTAAAATATGTGTCCAAAAAGAAGAAAGCAATTAATGCAGCATGAATACCTAGGTATTTATGAGCGTAAATGTTATGAATTGCATAGACACACTAATGAATTCTTGATCGTATGCGATATGAACTGAGAATGATACATTTAGACTAACAGAGGTGATTACTTCCTGGGCCAAATGCTAGAAAAGACCCTAACTTTCAGGATCTCTCAGAAGCAGTAAAAGTGTTTTCCAGTAATTAGCAAGACACCTCCCACCCTCCAGAAATTCTTGTTCATATGGAATGAGTGAGGGAATTTAGTTTTACGCCGCACATATTCCAGCTATATGGCGGCGGTATGTAAATAGTCAAGTCTGGACCAGACAATCCAGTGATTAACAGCATGAACATCGATCTGCGCAATTGGGAACCGATGACATGTGTCAACCAAGCCAACGAGCTTGACCACCCGATCCCGTTAGTCGCCTCTTACGACAATCATGGGTTACTGAAGGTTCATTCTAACCCGGACCTTCACGGGTTGTTGATATGGAACTAGACACAGAATGTATGAGGTTACTAAAAATAAACAAGGTTTACCCCACTGTTGAAACAATGTCCACATGTTCATAGACCAACTGAATGAGTATTGGCCACATGATGTAATGTACTGTGACAAGCACTGGTGTTCAACGTGGTCAAGATATGCAGTATGGGTGAAAAGGTTGAGTTTGATGCTACCTCTACATTTGGTATAATTTAGACAATATGAATTTTCTAGACTATTTCACAAACACTCACCTGTGACATAAAACACGGACGCCCAACCACCATCAAAGCCGGATCTGCACAGGAAGCCGGCAAGTGGGAAGACTAAAGCATTTCCAACTTCACTGCCTAGCATACATAAATGGAAATTATTGATGCAAACATTCATAAAGAATGTGCAGAAGTGTTATAGAATGTTCAACTGATTTAAAACGTATTCAGTGAGACAACATATGTATTAGAATGTTTTGCAAAGAAAATCATTCCATAGATTACAAGTCGCTTGCTACCTTGCAGCTGGATAGCTGGATTTGAATATGTGATGGTTTAGTGATTCCAGTAAGCTGCTTTGATACCAAAAATTCGCTATTCCCAAACTTGGAGAAAATACACGAAACCCAGTCATTAATACAGGCTACATATTTACGAGTATATGCTATGTTATTAGTTGAGATCTACATTACCCGTAGATGTGATTTCAATAAATTGAATTTGGAACCGAACGTGCAGTGTGTAATTTCAACTATTTAATGTAGCCCGTTTTTGAGAAGCTGCTTCCCTTCATAGATGTGTGTTTTTAGACTTACAACGCCTTGGTTTCATTTTGCCTTTTGGCATTCGGGGTATGTTACAAATATGCAAATGCAGTAGAGAGTTTTCCTATCAGTGCTTTTTTTCTTGTCATCATGTCATTAATTTCATCAAATAAGTTTCCATAGCCCAGGAATCGGAATGAGTACCTTTGCAAACATATACCACATATACCATCTTCATGACCTACTCATTTCACTTTGACTGAGAATTAATTCACTATGTTCCAAAATCTGGTCATCTATGCTTATTCGCGAAACAGGTATGATTTATACATACTAACACATCAGCAACCCTCATCAAAACTGTTTGGTAGCATTTACAATAATGTATTAATCACGCCGATGCATTGGTCTTGCATAAATCAGTTCCAAATCTGTGATCGTATTTACATGTTCATCGCGAGAACAAGTTATTGGATCAGGACACGGGCAATACTATTCTTTATATTATACATGTAGTATAGCAGCGTTCTGGAAGGATTGGGGGCGGTGGGATAGCCTAGTGGTTAAAGCGTTGGCTCGTCACGCCGAAGATCCGGGTTCGAATCCCCACATGGGTACAATGCGTGAACCCATTTCTGGTAGTCCCCCGCCGTGATGTTGCTGGAATATTGCTAAAAGCGGCGTAAAACCAAACTCAGTCAGTCAGTCTGGAAGGATTGAAACATCAAAGGGATAGAGAAACTGCGGGGGTGACCAAAGATCCATGTGTTTACCTGTAAAGGCTATACTTTGTAAAGACGAGATTTCTGATTTGGGTGCCCACTGGACCCAGAAAGCAGGAAGCGATGTGAACAATACTGACTTGGAAAAAGAAAGAAACATGACTGTTAGAAATTCCTTTGGTCATGTATAGATTCATACACATCGGGTTTATGAAAAGATCTGTCGACCCATTCTGACACATGTGCCCACGGGTTTACAGGAATCCAGTGCTAAAAGTATTGCATTCTGGAATATTTAAACTATATTGCAAAGACATATTAAGTCAATGGTTCATTTCCAAGGACAATAGAGAATTTAATATCTACAATGTAGACAGTATGTGTATGAACTTGTCTGTTTGATTTTAATGGAAACATTGCTTCTATTAAAGACAACGTAAAACCGAAACAACTTGTCCAAATTTTTGTTACCGCTATATTGGAATAATAGAAGACATTCCTATGCATAAACGTGTCAGGACAGTTCTCACCACAAATGCTCCAGTTAGGATCCGAAGAGCCACCAGAATGTACACGTTCGTGCGGGCAGCTACAGGTGAAAGCAGTGTTGATGCAGAACACAAGATTAACCCAATTCCAATGACTTTTCTGGGACCAAATCGTTCGGCTAGCAACCCACATGGAATTTGAAGACACAGGTATCCCCAGAACAATGATCCAAGAACAATACCTTGTGTTTCTTTACTCCATTCAAATTCTCCCATCTGTAAATACCAAAGTTCAATATGTATGCCTATAAGTACAACACAATGGCGCACACCAAATGATTTTATTTGAGTGTGTGTTGTTTACGCCGAACTCAGCAATATTCCAGCTATATAGCGTCGGTCTGTAAATAATCGAGTCCTGTGATCAACAGCATGAGCATCGATCTGCGCAATTGGGAAACAATAACATTTGACAACGTCTGGGGAAGGGCTCTGTCCTTCCCCTCCCGTTCGTCGCCTCTTAAGACAAGCATGGGAAACAGTGGACCAGTCCTAACCCGGATCTTAGGAGGTATGCATACCAAGTGAGGAAAGAAATGTTTACAATATAAGATAATAAAAACAAACAAATTTCCGAGAACTATGACATGGTAAGCAAATTCGAGATAACATTAAACAAAATCAGCATATATGAGTTTGTAGATGACTTACTATATGACAACTCACCTCGAACTCATCAGCATCACTGGTAATCCAGCTGAGAATCTTGCCAGTAGGGCAATAACTGTCTGATGTTTCATATCCATTGGTGCTGTTTGAATGACTATAAGCTGTGGTCAAGTTAGATAAGGTTTTCAATGATAACCTTCCCCCAAGATCTGTCAAGTTCCCGCTGGATTGACGAATCATACACACTATAGTTATCCCGAGACTCGACCGGAAACAGCTGCCAAGACACATGCCAACTGAAAGCAATATGGCAAGCCAGTAGCGACACTTTCCGTGTGTCTCATCTGAAAAGAGAATTCAATAGAATGGTAAATCTGTTCCTACGACCTCGAGCTCGGACACAAAAACCATTTCTCACAGCACCAGTCCTGAAATTGTCTCTTTCATTTTGTTTCTTTGTCCAAATACATGTTCAGTTTTTAATACAAATGAGTTTAGTTCGTAAATTGCTAAATGTGACAACGTGCCTTCATTTCCAAATACAAACATATGTGTAAGCTTCACTAAATAGTGTTACATGGGCTTCTACTGAAATCTGGCTCAGATAATTCATCAATGTGCGGCTGCGTCCATTCTGCATAAAACATGTGGTCGTGGGACCGAATTTCGGTTTGCCAGTTTTCGCTTCTGGGTATCAGCAATATTCTCTTTGATTTCGTCAAAGTAGTAAACATCCAAGACCTACAGACCTTAGATTGTATTCTCAAATAACCCTGATACGTATGACTGACAAGTTGTGAAAAACGGCGTTTAACCAAGCTCAGTCACCCACTTCATTGTATACACCTGGAAATACGTTAGTCACCCCTAAATATGTTGACCGCTAACAGAACTATGTTCAAGTTTACCTTCTGTTTGACGTTACACATAATAATAATGTTCAACAAGTGTTTGCCACTGATATGGCAATGTCCCCCGCCGCTAAAGAATTGAATATCTATATTTACTACTTATATTTTTGGGTCACATACAAGATGCCTGAAATGACTGGTGTCTGCATAATCACCCAATGTAGGCTGTCAACATACTTGAAAACATTGGGTGCAATGTATTATGAGATATCGCGTTTAAAAAGCGGTCAAAGTATCGTGGTGACCTTGAAGATAAGGTCAAGGTCACCCAAATCGACTGGTGTCTGCATAATCTCCCAATGTAGGCTGTCACAAAATGTGAAGACATTGGGTACAACAGTTCATGAGATATCGCGTTAACAAGAATCGGGACGTACGTATGGACGTACGGACAGACACCGCTGAATACATAGTCCCCCGTTCCAAGTATACTTGGTCGATAGTGTCTCCCAAACACGTCCCATCCCGACTGTCAGTTCCACCATGTTCTGTCCAGTTGGACTTAATGTTCACCCACAATAGGGGGCGGTACGGTAGTCTAGTGGTTAAAGCGATCGCTCGTCACGCCGAAGATCTGGATTCGATTCCTCATATGGGAACAAGGTGTGAAGCCCATTTCTGGTGTCACAAGCCTTGATATTGCAGTAATATTGCTACAAGCGGAGTAAACCATACTCTTTCACTCACTTACTGTACAAAATACTTGGATATACCGTTCTCCAAAGCCACATCATCTGATACTCTTCCGGAAAGAGCGTCCGCCCGGAGAGGAGTAAGTCGCGGGTTCGATCCCCGGCCGCGTCATAACAATAGACGTTAAAATATGGTACTTGTTGTTCCCTGCCTGGCACTCGGCATTAATGGGTACAACAAGCACTGGTCAGCTCGGAGTCAATATAATGTGTCTGATTGGGGTATTCATGCTTCACTGCGGCAGGGTATCTCAGTGAGCTAGCACTATAAAACCAGCTAATGTCTGGGATAGTACAGGCACACATACTCACGCATGCACGGCATCATATGAGCGAATATTCTTAAGTGCGACGTTGAGCCCCATTTCACCTCACCTCACCTCACCTCTTCCGGAGAGCCCGACACGTTTGTGGACTGGCAAGATTGGTTGTACGCTCTGAACATTGGTGACATACTGCCTTTTGCGTTTTAGAAGTGAGGCAGTCAGTCATTAAGTGAAGAGTAAGTAAGTATGGTTTTACACCTTTGAAAATTTCAAAGGTGTAAAACCTTAAATATTCCAGCCAAATGCTGAGGGCATAAGAACTTAGTTTTTGTCACATTTTACCCATGTAGCGAATCGAACGTGATGATGTAACGTATAACCAATAGGCTAACTCTTTCAAAATGTATAGCTTCACCATGTTACGTGGTGGCCCACAGTTTTGTGATTAAATGGCCCGGAATGATGTATATGATAAAGCAATTACTCGACACACATGTATGGCATGTCAAAGATTATATGCAAAACCATACCTTTGTCAATGTTCAGATTTGGTTCCACTTCCATCTTCAATGCTCAACACATAGTCATGTCGGTGTTGGTCAGTTATGTAAAAGAGCGAATGCCCCCGTGGCCAGGCCTTTTTATATACAGTATGCCTAGCACTGCAATAGAAATTGCTAAGTAAGCAATTGGTGGTCATTGTAACATCTATAAAATGAACGAGCCTGTCACTGATAATTCAGTTCAACGACAACATAAAAAACCCATCAATGTTGTAATATCCTACAGGGTTTTGATATGGTTAGGAATATATGCCAGATGTGACATTAGTATTGGCATTTTCGCATCACTTTGGAAATTCATGTTTCTATTGACACAACACTAGTTTGTAGGATATAGTTAGGTCGTGAATAAACCGTTTACTGGAACTGTGTTCCCGTGCTAATATTAATTTCAAAAACAAACGGTGTTAGGGAATCGCACTTTTCAATAATAATCGTTGGTGGCAAGGTATGTGGAATGGCGCCTGTACTCACCCCGGCTGGAATCAGACCCATTGTGTACGTGCAACAATAGACTTGTTGAGCAGGGAAAGAGCGTGCGTTATGTCGTGGAGTACGTACATATCCTGAAAACACACGAAGCCGGTTGTCAAGTTCTTGGACAATGACCAACAGGTGCATCTCAGAAAATATGTTGTATAATCCCATTGTGTCAGAGCGATATGACTCAGTTTGATGTTGAATAATATTCAAAAGTCTTCAAAACATACATCTTCCAAAAACTTCCATGTTTTTCGATATCATCAGCAAAGCAAAATTAATGAAACCAATATCTGAAAATAAAGTTCACTAAGTATCGCCACTTTTCATTTCATCCTGAATCAGCATTCACAACGTTGTTTTGTATGTTTTAAAGTCAGTATGTCAAGTACTTACTGGGTACAATCAACAAGAAGTAATGTAGTAGTGATTAAATGGTGATTTCAAAAATTTCCAATTTGGAAAGATGATATTTCCAAAATTTCCAAAATTGGAAAGATGATATTTCCAAGGCTTGGAAATCTTTGGAAATTTAGGAAGGATTTTACCACTACTTCTTTCAGTTTCTCCTTTTCCCAAGGATCCCCGTGAGTGTATAGACTGTGTATTCGTCCTCCTAGGGTGTATTCGTCCTCTATGCGATCAACTATAACCAGGAGACTATAAGACGTTGTAGATTATTCCTGGTATAACTTCTCTCGTCTGCATCCTTGTTGTTCTAGGTGTCAAAATTGGCATTAACTGTCATATTTGCCCTGATATGGCCAGCATTTTCCAAAATACAGTTTTAAGTGTATGGTTTACTTATTATCCACAAAAGCGCAAATAGTTTTTGACCTGTCACGGTTTGCATAAACACAAATTACATAGACCTACGTTACATCATTGATTAAATAAAAGTTTACCGGACCCACTGACTGGCCATGGTTTATTACATGTCATAAAAGTGAACCCTTGCCAGGGAATAATAGGCTTATTGTAGTAGAATACATTCTTTAATGGTACCCTCTAATTAACACCTGACACAAGGGATGGACCGTTTAGGTGGTTTATCATTGCGAAGTCAACAGACCATGAAATGTTGTTTTAAGACTGTGAGCGAATAGAGAGCAACCCGTTTGGGTTTGTGGTCAGAGACGGTGTTATGCAGTTGGTGTATTCACGAAATATCATGAACTTAATAATAGATAATTGGTTATATTGTCCACACACAGGCGGACTGGGGCAAAAAGAACCCAAATGAATCCCTTCTTAAAAACTTCATAGTGTAACTAATTAATTTGGTCATATACAATAAAAGGTGACTAAATGTTTAATTTTAGATAACGTTAAATAATTTCTGGAGAAACCACTACACAAGTTCATATCACAGATGATTCCAGAGACAAATAGTTTATGAGATTCTAGTTTATGAAAAGCATTAAATTCCAAACAAGCCAATCTGTTCTCTAATGCTCGGGAATTATTACCACTTACATACCATAGTTTGAGATGTCGACTCAGGAAGCCGACCTTTCGATTCTTATAAGGCTCAGGACATTGACAAGGGGTACGCTTTAAAGTTTGGGTGTTATTTTAGCACATGGCTAATCTCACGTGACGTGTTATTACAAGCTGGTGGTTGATGGAAGTGAACACATCGCACACTGAAGCCGACCGTGTAAAAACATGATCAAAACAATCATATGGTAAACACATTTAACAAGGCACTGATCCAGAGCAATTTCCGCGCACTGGTTGTTGCTTTTGTTATTGCTTTTCTCCCCTGAGTACCCGGATGATATCCCAGTACTTTCGATTGGTTCGTGACCTTTGCTGCGCAACCCGCATGCGCAATTGATCGTATAGGTGTAGATTGATCAACAAAAATAAAATCTTTTTACTCGATAATATTTCCATCATTTTGAAAATGAAATGAAAACACTTTGAAGTTTAATCATCTGCCAGTGGTAAAAATGTCAGGACTGAAAAAAAACAGAAGTCAATGCATGTCTATATATTTTGTCTTATAATCCTAATTATTATATTGCCATATTTGGCATGCATTTTGAAACTTAATAAAAAGCATACGATTATACTTATAGCGTATTTATAACATGACTGTAATATCTAGACATTTTATAGAATGCCAACAAGAATCATATTTCACACACACCCTAGGTATGACCTAGTGTATGTTGTCTGTCTCATTACGGCGAAAACAAATGATTCTGTTGAATGCTACCACAAATGAATAAAAACAAAATGCAAATATTAGAAATAAAACCGACTAAAGTCTGCAACAATGTCAGGTTATTACCTTGTTCGAGGAATGTATCCATCAATATCCACATAGGTTAAGTCCCGATTTTGACCGCCTCAAATTTGGATATAGGAGCCAATAGAGAGCTTTGGTCTGGATGTGTATGCTGTTTGTCCCCTCTTCTGACAACAGTCCCATCTGCTGTTGTAGTGACTGAGGCTGTTTTCAGGCACTGATATCTCCATATAATGGTACCATTCCTGCTGGCAGTTCGTCTCGTATTAGTTTGTATTAGTGTTGAAGAATTTTACTTGTTCTGTACTTCTCTCAGGTGATTGCATTAACATAACTACCCTTAATTGGTGCAGCTAGTTATCCCAGGTTTGAGAGCGAAACTTCGCGAATCAGTGACCAAGACGCTGTCAAAAATGGGACACTACCTCCACATAAAGGAACAATATGCCATTGATCTGCAGCTGACAAAGAATCCCGTTCCATGCCAAGTGTCTTTTAACAGTCTAATACCCGAAAAGGGATACATCGATTCAGTTTTCACATTGGTGTATAATCTCATTGGTCAACTAATTGCATGATGTCCGCCATTCTTTAAAAGGTAATCTAATTAGCCAATAATGAGCATTAAATCCACTTGTGTTTTTCTTGGCTTGGTCATCTCCTCCCCACCCTCCCCACCCACCCGTACCATTGTCTTGCTAATTAACATGGTCTGGTGATCCTCTTACGCCTTAAATAAACAACTTGCCCGACTGGCAAAGAGGAACACCCCATCAACTTACTGGCGGTTAATACATTGAAGGAAAGATGTTGTTTTACACAGGTACAGGGTACAGGACAGGGTGTAATCAGTATAGATTAGTAAATCTACATACATAAACATTACCTTTTGACAAATCCACTGTGCAAGAAAAAGTAATTAATCAATCAGCGTGTTATCGGTTAATCCTTTGATCAATGTTTGTTTTGTATCTCAGCTGATAATTCGTCTTGCTGCAGTTCCATGAGCATATTACATAACATGTAATACATTTGTCACATCAGACCATCAATTCATAATGCTGAGTACATGTATTTACTCCAGACACAAGAAATGCGAAATGGGAACCTTTGGCGGGTAACCTGAGTGGTATTACCATCATACCTGTTATAAATGCATTAATTGACCATCAAGTGAATGATGACAAATAACATGTGTAGGTTTATACCACCAAACACTCAGCTAGTTACAGCAAAGGGATAGTAATCGCTGAATTGCATGCAATGTTAATTGCCTGAAAAAGTTATGGGCCGACACTGTTTGGAGGATACGAACGGAACTTCATTGTTGCATAAGAAATACATATAAGCATTGGATGTGTACTGAAGTTAAAATTGTATATACCTGAGTACATTTTCATTTGTCATAAATATAATATGTAATAGACATCATATGTTTACATGGCATGATTAAATATCGAGGTAAAAAACACAGAAATAAGATCAAATTGAAAAATTGGATCAGTCACTATGCCATCTATGCATTAAAAAATCCGAAAAGCATATACACTGCTGGTATACTTTATTGCAATCAGACAGGAACTACTGGGGGTATTCTCAAATACATGTAACAGCATCTGATGAGCATCCACCCTTCCTAATGTCCCGCTGTTTGGGTTGAAGAAATTTTGTCAAGGTGGCCAGAAGCCCAGTCCCTGTGTCCGTCACTGTCGAGGGAGCAGATACCGACAAGCTTGCAGTTTGGTTTGGTAATTAGACTGTTGGCGAGAAACATTAATCGCTCTGGATCAGTTCCCCTCTAATTACATTGGGATATATACATGTAATGAGAAGAAGCATGAAAGTGTACATTCGATTTCGAAATGGCTAATGCTCAACTTGAACATAAGTTTATTCCTACACCTTGTTGGTGCAATATGCCGAAGGCCAAAGACAACCCACGACGAAGAAATACCGATACCTTGAACGACATCTTCAAGAACTGAGACACCAGTTTCAAAATAAAATGGAATGTTAACTGTTAGACAGTTTGCTGATTCAGCGTCTCTTCTTTCACATCTTTAATATATTTATAATGTACTTATAAATGTGTATGTATATTTATAATTATGTAATATTTTGAAACATTTCATAATATGATGTAATATAACTATTTATAAAAAAAATCCTGTAATATGTAGCATGTTGTAACATGATTAAATAAAATCTGTCCATATAGTCTCCACTCGTGGCTTACGCCTTCTATGTTTTTTATGTGTTTTATATTTCAATGTTTATATGCTGAGACTGAAATGAAACACTATCTTTATACATATATTTGGCTCGTTTTCTCATTAGGTGTGCTCTCATTCGCATAATCCGGAATATCCTATTCTATCAACAAGTAGGCCTATCATTGTCTCTATAATCCAATGTTAATTTGCTAACGGACGGGACATCAACATTTCTCTTAACTCATCTGTTTGGACCAAAGGTCGATAGAGGGGAGTTTCCATGTATATTCTCATGCCGTTATCAAGATAACAGTTACCAGGTGAACAGAAGTATATATGCATAGTGACTAGCAGCAAACTAACACCAGGTGATTCAGCAAGTAGCACATCGTTGGGGGCATGAGGAGAGTAAGATCAACAAGTCTAAATCCACTCCATTCTCCAAGTGATGGAATCAATCAACATTCAATCAGCTTGTTTATCCTGAACGTTGTACATCGAAATGCCGCTCTATGCAATAAACATGGAGTTGTTATCACGTAAGTGGTATGTTTCGTTGTGTATCCCCATACTGTTTACTGCAGTATAAGTGAAATCTGCTTCACTTTGCGAATGA